CATAGTATAGAAAAAAAGTCGTCCCGCTGTCTGTCTGTCCCTACGTATCTTAGATCTTTAAAACTACGCAACGGACCTTGATGCGGTTTTTTTTATTAGATAGAGTGATTCAAGAGGAAGGTTTATATGTATAAGTAGCTGTCCCCGCGTCTTTGTCCGCGTGGAATTTAGAATAAAAAAAATCTAAAATAAAAGTAGCCTAAGTTACTCTTTATTACATCAGCTATCTGCCAGTGAAAGTCCCGTCCAAATCGGTCCAGCCGTTTCAGAGATTAGCCGGAACAAACAGACAGACAGACAAAAATTGTAAAACCTGTTGTTTTGGTATATGTACCGTGTATACATTCATATGCATTTAGTAAAAAGCGGTTATTTTAATATTACAAATAGACACGCCAATTTTATTTATCTGTATAGATAAATTGCACCCGTGCGAAGCCGGGGCGGGTCGCTCGTATTATATGCGTTACAACGTTTGGCACAATCTATTTCAATCCAAAACTCACTGACTAAGAATACTTTATGTTATGATATTATAACTTTAATTTTGTTTTGTTACGACCATCATAGAGGTTGGTAATCGGCTTTTAGCTTTATTAAATGTCATTACGCAATAACTAGCCAGTTATTTCCTAGCAAGCCTAGAACCCTACCGGATTATTCACTCTCACCCTGAAGGTGCTCACGTCTACTTGCCTCTAGGGTTTAAAAACTGGCCAAGTGCGTGTCGGACTCGCTCACGGAGGGTTCCGTACCATTATCTATAAAAACTGCAAAAAAAATCATGTCTGTTGTATGGGAGCCCCACTTAAATATTTTTGTATTCTGTTTTTTAGTATTTTTTGTTATAGCGGCAACAGAAATACATCGTCTGTGAAAATTTCAACTGTCTAACTGTCACAGTTCATGAGATACAGCCTGCTGACAGACGGATAGACAGACAGCGGAGTCTTAGTAATAGGGTCCCGTTTTATCTTTTGGATACGGAACCCTAAAAAGCACCTTATTAAAACTAACTTTTACATTTACTTACTATTACTAGTACATTGAAATATTGCGTCAGTTACTCAGGAATAAATAACTTGAAACTTAAGAGTAAATTAAGTTTCTTTTATAGATTACGTATTACAATACAAATAAAGACATTTTACCTCGTATCATTAGTATGTAAATATTAAAAAAGAAACGATTTGGTCTACAGTTCCTAATCTAAAAACCGTTGCGGATGAATTTAAAAATAATAATATCCTTGACTTCGTAAAATTTTATAATCCGATTCGAGGATTATTACGAAAACATAATACGAATCGCTTAGGATCGCGTGGCGCTGTCATTTCTATTTTTATCACAGCACCGCAGCACATGTTCTATGTCTAGTCGATAGAAAAATGCGCTGCTGCCTATATCAGTTACGACCATCATAGCATACCGATGTTTCATTAAGAAAAACAATGATGGCCCCGCTCGCCCGTTGCATTGAGTGCGTTGCTTTCGGGCCTAAAGGTTCTACCGGATCTATGGACCGGCTTCGTAGATCTAAATGGACATCGATTGTCAACATCTGGTGTATCTCCGCCTCATTTCCGAGTTTGTTTCATAAAAAAATAGCACAGACCCGAACCGCCCTAAATATATATAAATAAATATTTCGGGACATATTTTTACACAACATTATCTAATCCCAAACTAAGCAAAGCCTGTACTAGGTAACTGATAAACGTACTTTTCTTTTGTAAATAATTACGCAGACACTAGAAAAATAATTTGTTTAACACACAATATTTTTCCAGCAGTGGGGATCGAAACATAATATGGGTCCACGTGAAGTTTATGTATGTAAATCGTCCTTACAAATAATGTTAATATTATCCAACAGTAGCAATGTTTTAAAGTAAAAAAATTCTTCATATAAATTGTTACGGTTAGATAAATATAATTGGTAAAGTCGCTGGCTTACGTCGAAATTAATACTTTCAAGTCAAAGATTACACAAAAACAACAACGGCTTTATACCCTTCACTGTCGCAGTTCCTCACTCGCAAGGAGTCACGCTCCAGTTGCGTCTTAAAATAACTTGCGATGTCAGACAAACATGTAAAATTGAAACGTGTCGGCAGAGAACTCGTTCGAGTTGTAAGCTTCATCGTAAGCGCCTCTCATATCTCACCTGGTTACGGTTTAAAACTTAACTTCGGTTTCAAGCTCACAAATGAACTAGTTTATGATCAACGTCGACAACATCGTCTAATGTCTACGTCAACAATAAATGCCTAAAAACATCGACTACGACCATCGGAAAATAAGTAAAGTAAAGTAAAAAAGTAAAGTTACAGCCTATACATGTCCCACTGCTCGGCTAAGGCCTCCTCTATACAGAGGGGATCAGGACATAGTCCACCACGCGGCCCTACTGCGGATTGGCGGACTTCACATATCTTCGAAATTTTTTTTGTTATTATTTCGAAAATATGCAGGTTTCCTCACGATGTTTTCCTTCACCGCGGAGCACGTGATAAGTCAGCACTTAAAGTTAAAAACTTCATTGGTGCCGGCACCGGGGATCGAACTCAGGTTGCTCGAGTATATATTGAATTAAAGGCGAGGGCCAGGACACTGAGCTATCACGGCTGTGGAAAAAAAAGTATTTGAAACTAAAGTGCTGTATGAACCAGTTTGTTGTGGAACAAGTCACTTCACGGCGACTGTCAAAACGTCAAACAGCCCACCACCACCTTCTGCAATTACTCCCCGTGGTCACAGCTGACCCTTTCGATTCGCTCCTACGAAACGCCCGTCTCTAATTCGCCCAACGTCCACTTTCCTCATGCCGTCCATTAATTTCGCGTTCAATTTATAGTCGCCTTTCTGCAAACGTAAATCCCGAGAGGAATAAATCGCTCAGCGATCTTTCATCGCTGCCGTAATACAAACCTTTCACATCGCTCGCGTTCAGTTTGCGAGTTGTAATTTTAAAATATTGTGCTTTTCAATTTTTATGCGCCATTAGAAGCGATTCAGTCTATTCTGTACGTTTAATTCTTTCATTGAGATTTCACTTTCGGTTACGTCTTTTATGTGTGTGTTTCAATAACTATAAGGTACCAGCGAAGTCGTCTGCGTTGCTTATTATAAATGTAAACATACCGGGAAAACACACATCACTGAACACGTAGTGTTTATAAAAATCGAAAAGTTGTTTCTAAAAATTTTAATAACTTTTAATCTCAAATGAACGTATCACATTTTTTCTTCTCTCAGATAAGAGCCTAGTGGCTATGAAATAAAACCTAGCAGAATTAATTGAACTCTATCTTCGTCTGTCTATCTATGACTTCTTTTTATTTATATAAATAATGCGATTTACTGCCACGGTAGTAGTTTTTATCTAATATGGCTGAGGTGGATTCGACTTCTTTAACCGAGCATCCCGCGTCATTAAAAAGGTTGACGTTTGCACAGACTTTATTTATTTGAGTATCCGTTACTATACTATTCTCCTTTTCAACTATATTCAACCTGAATTTCATTATCGCTGTTATTATACGACGTGGCAATTATTCAGCATCCCAAGATTCTAGACCATTAGGTTCTCTAGTTTATCTTAAGCACTATTTAGGTCACACTAGAACCCCGATGGCCTCGCGGAGTCGACTTCGTGCCTCACTTCGGTATCTAGTTTATTTATAGCAGGTTGAGCGTACGATGAACTAACTGGTCGGTCTGACTAATGCATATTTGGTGGGAACTTAGCGGTTTAACTTTATTTTTAGACCAGCCCGCTGCTTTGTATTGTAGCCAGCGTGGCACTATCGATATCGCATACTTTTCCCCCAAATAGTTGTAGCTCACAGAGACCTTACAAGCGAGTGAAAGTATAGACCTACTTCTTTTGTAGATTTGCTTTTGTTTTATATTTGACAGGTGCCTTTATAATTAAATTAAAAATAAAAGAGGTACTATCCTCTTCTAATTTCTAACACGTCATGCTAATGCACGTTCGAAAAAGGTGAAAGTGATGTGAGCGAGTGCAAAATTTCAAAAATAGACAATAAATCAAACTGGGATATGATTTCACCTCACTAAAAGGGGTAGACGGAGATAGGTAATGCTGTTTCCGTTTAGCCGAGTCTTAAGTTTAAATCTAGTCGTGTCGTGCTCTGCACCGGATGTGAGGCATTGATTTAGGCTTTTATTTCAATGTCGTCGTACGTTACGTACATCTCTCGGTCGCAGCCGGTGAAACAACCTAGAGCGTATGCATCATCTGGGTCAATGTTCCGTTTCGCGTCGGTTATGTTCGGCATTAGAATTAGTTACGGCGCGGTCGAATTTTATTGGTATCAGTGTATCGAGTCCATTGTTCGGCTCCTACCGGCAAAGTCGACGGTTGCGTTTGTCGTTCGCTTATGATGTTATAACACCGCGTGCTCTGCCGCAGTACACGTGAGCGGATGTATCGCCATGCTTTATGGCATTTCGCGTATCGATATTTTCCTATTTTGTCGTTCCGTCATCAAAGAACGATTCTTTTGACTAATTTAGGTTGATAGCACAAAACTCAATTGTTGTTAGGCTAAGGTTTACTGAACGTTAACGGTGATTATGTAAAAGATATTTTTTCAGTTAATTTTACCTGAAACAAAAATAAATCGTAATTTCATGCTGATAGCGTTTATTGGGTAATAGTACTGTAAAAAATTAACTTTACAAAACTTGTTGACGAATTGTCACATATACATTAGAACACACAGACATTATAGATTTTCAATTGATTAGAATTAGTCTGTTTATTAGAAATTGTTATGTCAGTCACTCTTTACAACCAAAACGGTCGCAATAGCCGATCAATTACAATCGTAATACATAACATTAACTAATCAACGAAGACAATTAGCGTCGTAACAAGAGACTGAACACACACCGTCACCGGATGATATAATTCACTCCTGAGCTGGATTCCAAGCGAGCACCCTGCCACGGTGGAAAGCGGTGATTAATTAGACGAATTCCGTTTCAAAGACGCCGCACGGGGCTCCGCGGCCGCCACCGTTGCGACGGTAGATTATGCCCCGGACAATGGACAGTAAATAGCTGGTTATGGCCAACTGTCGCTCCGTCGACTGTGGGTTCATTAAATTTTCGCCCACGGCGGCCTCGGTGCCGCGCGAGCGGTGGGCGGCGTGTGCGTTTCTAATTTCGCTGTTGCAACGCTTTTCCGCCGACCGGTTGGCAAATAGCTCCTCGGCGACACTTCCCTCCTCTTCTTTGTCGTTGCAACGGGCGACGTCCCTCGTAGACGCCTCATTGTCTGATGCTATCGGTAAAGCTGACATGATTTTGGGCCGCCCTTTTATGTGGTTCGGATAAATTTGTCGAGGTTTTATAGCTTTCAATGAAGACTAACCGCCTCTCCTGATCTCTACTATTCGTATAGCTAAAATTGTACGATTATCTTATGAAATTAAAGTTTTAACGCAACGTCATACACAGCAGTAAAATTTACATGTATTCGTTTTAGATGACCAAAACCAAATGTTCAAGAGATATCTCTCTTGAACATTTGGTTTTGGTTTAGTTAGTTGTCAATGAGCTGTGATGGCGAAAATGCTACGTCGAATTTTGGGATGCCAATATTACAATCATTATTATTTTTGACGTTAAAAATATTGACGTGTCAGTATAAAGTGGCCATAGAAGCTAGAAATGTTGAAAAATTCTATTCTGGACTGTTTTCGACGCTTAAGTTTGCTTAATTCCAACACGGTGGGAAACACATCATTATAACAAACTTATTCAGTATCGGCGCACCTGAAGCCAGGAATGTCCACGGGTGGCATTGGTTTGGGTAACTGGAAACAGTAGAAACTGGTGCCACATACCATTTCAATAAGGAGAGACCCGTTCGAACAGATAATGCGATAAGAACAGATCGTTAACTCGACAACTAAATTGATACCTCGGCCTATTGGTCTTGTGCTTTGGCACATTCCAGAAACAGCGCGACCTGTCGTATTTCTAAATCGGATCCGAGCCTGATACTATAATTTATTGGCCCAGGACCCGGTCCACGGTCCAGTTTCGAATAGACAATGTGCTGGTCGCTTATGTATGTTCTGCAGATACAATTGCAACCGTCCGATTTATAGTGTTATGGGTTTAGTAAGGAATTTAATTTATTTTCATTACCTATCTTTTCGTCAATTGCTATTTTGTATCTTTGGTTAAAACACTATGTAGGTACTGATTAGTATCCCTCTTTACTTAAGTGCATAATTCTCATTTCTTTCTCTTCGTCTCATTATATAAATTTAATTCATTATAGATGAAAACTTTTATGGATTTATTGCGTTTATTTTTAATTTTAATTCCCGACGTTTCGAACCCTTTTCAGCGTTCATGGTCAAGAACAGACTGAGGCGTTGGACGTCTGAATGTCATAGTTAACCATGGCTACCGTCTGTTTTTTAATTATTAATTTTGTGTCCGTTTGGGTCTAGATTTAATTCTATTGATGATAGGATCCCAAGTTGATGGTGGAACCTCTTTAAGAGTTACCCCTAATTTGGTGAAAAATAATTTTGGTGACGGTCTGATTTAAGGAATCCCTTAGGTTAGGGTACCCTAGTAAAGGGATTTGAGGATACAATGGTGAAAACGGGCATAATTAATAAATATTTAGGACACATTTTTACAAAACATTCTCTAGTCCCAAACTAAGCAACGCTTGTACTATGGGTACTAGATAACTGATAAATATAATTTTCTTTTGTTAATTAAACCATATTATACATATAAACACCCAGACACTAGAAAAACACTATGTTCATCACACGATATTTTTACAGTAGTGGGGATAAGCATGTTATAAAATGGATTCACCGTCAATGGTGCTTTCCACTTTTACTTGTACGTCGTGCCTCACTTGTAATTGAAATGAAATTAACGAGTGCAGAAGAAAAAGGCGCTAAATTACCACCGCCATTATCATCAATCAATACGCGATTGGTACTAACGACGCACGAGTTTGACGTCGGTCGATACTTTAACTAACCGAAGAACAAGAGGACGCAATTTATGTTACGCATTCGGGGTTTTGATTGATTATTATCAGACTCAAACACGCGGCAAGATCAATAAATATATTTATAAGCTGCTGAACATTTTACATTACCAAATCCCCCTGTATGTTCACATTACAATCATGTGAAAGTAATATTTAATGAAGTTATTGCTGAATTTTCCCTAAAATTTCAAATTCTTTCGTCCTTATGCATATTTGGTTGCGCTTAGCGGTTTCAGAATGTGTATTGGTTTTTCCGAGAGTTAACTGTCGTACCTAAGTTTTGTAAACAACCATTCATTTATAAAACGTTGCTGTTTTATATGTTATATATACACTTTACAGAGAAGCGAATATAATGGCGGAGCTGAGATAGATGTGTATTAATATAATCGAATTATTTATTACCCGTTCCAGTGAGTCGGTAATGGCAATGAAACCACTGGACGGTAATGATATACCTCAAATTACTTTAGGCGTCCCAATTGTGACTGCGTAATATTAAACAATTCTTTCGTTAGCCCACGCGTCCGCCCCTATTGTAAGGTATTGCAGAGAATTTCGTACCATATTTAGAAGGCAATGTACGTGTGACTGGTATCATACCGCCCGCCTACGCGGCCCGATCTAGGGAAAGCAACTACAAGTCTGCGCTCTCGGCCGCGGGCGGTGCAACGGCGACACGGCCATCGGCACAATTCGCATTTCGATTGCGCTGAACAGTTGCCGTCTCCGAATGCGACGCGATTATGCACTCGAAACAGTCAAACGTGTAGACATAATTGTTGCTCTGGTTCGGATGCAACTATATCGTCTCATTTGCATTCTTATAACGAATGCAAATGAAACATGTCACACTTCACTTATTTCGCCATTGGTGCATTTTTTTTATGCGAAAAGTTGTCAAACGAGCAGACGGTTCACCTGATGTTAAGTGAATACCGCCGCCCATGGACATCTGCCACACCCGAGGGTTACAGATGTGTTGACAACCTTTTGAAGTTTGGGCTCCGGCTACCTCACTCACCAGACGAAACGCGAAAGTATTTGTCATACTTCCACTTGACGACGGTCTTCTGTGAGGTCGTGGTACTTATCCGGACGGGTCTGCCCATTCATGCAACAGCCGAGGCTGCTGCGTGGCCCTACCACCGTTAAATAAAAATAGTTTTATTGCGCTCTGGCGGAGCCGTCTTTTGTTGCTTACATTTTGTTTACGTTTTCTTTCATTTTATTTAAATAATAAACATCTTTGTGCAAATCTATTTTTCTTATGAGGTATTATTTATCTGTCGTACAATAGAATTTAAGAGACTATTCCATATTCCGCTTCTCAATAATTGCTAAAGTTATCTCTAAGGATAAGTTGCGCATATAACTAAAATCATTTTTACAAAAAGCTCATCTTCAGTTTCTTAAGACTAATTGGACTTTGGTTCACTATTCTTCTTACTTAGAGGCGATTCGTCTAACACTGTTTAATAGTTAACGTTAGAAACAACAAATTACGAAACAGCATCATTGTCTAAGAAGATTACTCGCTAACTTGAAGTTTCACAATGTCGCTAGTCACTTTTAAACATGGTGCTGCAGACTTGAGAGTTTTAACAGCTAATAATTAATTTATTACTTTAACACTGAAATTACGAAATTGGTGAAACGTTTGCAGTGGTTTTGCTTATTCTAGAGAACTTATCACATATTTTACACATTTACCAGTAACGTGCTATTTAAGAATGTCCAGAAATACATACTTCGCTTCTACGTGATTGCTTTTTTTACGTTTCCAAGTCAAGACAATGCAGGAGTGAAGCAATTAAGAGGAGAAATTTAGGACCCTGAATTTCTAAATCTAAATGGAACAGTTGGCCTTAGGCTTCTTTATTCTGCTATTTACATGCATTTGATTCTAGAGCTATTCTTTTGCTTCTAATTTAAGGTCTTTTTACAAAATTTTGTGTCGTTTGTATCACAAACGAGAATACAAGATTTCACGGGATCCAAAATTGAATAGCAAAACGCTGTATATAGAATTTATCGTGGAAATGTATAGGGGCGGGTAGCTCCTAAGTTATTGTACAAAAATAGATAATTAGCAAATAACTAGACGAACTAAAAGACGTGGGTTCGATTCCCGCAGCGGTGAAAACCTTTTCGTACTTTGTTCTGCAAATTTTAATGATATTTTGCAGTCAATAGAACCTTTTTCATATTCAGTAATCGCAACCGCTGCATTATACAACATTAATTAATGCAGCACTACGGGGTAGCCCGTTTCTAAATAAATTTAATGAGGCTTTGTGTGCTAAAGATTTCGCAGGGAAATTTAAACTCGGTAATAGAATATAATTAGTTTTATTGCGGTATAGTTTTAGTTAAAGTTAGTTTTGAAAGTATTCTTAAATGGTTTTTAGGCGTAAACCCAGAAAGCAAGGTCACACCGGCTCGCCGTCAATTTCAGATGTGTGATTAAAATTTAAAATGTCACTACTTAGTTCTATTTGCAAAATATATAACTCACAATATTTTGATATGTTACGTCTTTCTATGTGTAAAGGTTACATATGAAGATTAGATGAGAAATAAAATTTCCTGTGCGATTACATATAGATATCAATATATAATATAATAATGGATGGGTGATAAATATAAAATGATGCTAAAATATACCACCCGCACTGATGAGGATTGATTAATTTGTTTTAATTACACTCAAAGCTTCGAAAGTTGAATGTATTATCATTGCGGAATATCTCGATGACGCCAATGACGAGTTAACACTTTTGTTACTCACGTAGGCTAGAATAAGAATATTATACCTGTATGTTATATTGTAAACTGATACTGGAAAAGAGCAACTGTTGAGTTCTCTTCGCAACAGAAACTGCTTTCCGAACCGGTGGTACCTTACGAACCTCTATATATAATTAATTATGTAAAATTTGACGATGCATAAGAACGCGCGAGCGTCTATTTGATTAAATATATTTTTGATTTGATTTGATTTGATTTAGTCTGCACTAAAATAAAATTCGTCGTGACTTTGTGAATCATCGTGGCCTGTACTGTAACCGTACCTCGTAATATTATTGTATGATATTAAGCTATTTTAAACTTTTCTTTTAATTTTATTGCATTAAATTTTATAACAATGGTCTTAATTTTGCTGACATCACTTTATGAAATTTCTTCAATACAGGCTTGCTAAGCTCTTATTGAACGTGAAAAAAGGTAACTGTTCACTAAAATAGAATTATTTTAATTATTTTCTGATTTTATCCCTAATTAATTTCGAATTTACAAAATTGTTTAGGTTCTTACTTGTAAACTTTACAGCAGCAGCCAGGAAATTTGCAAGTGCAGAGCAAGAGTCATTTCCACACGACCTTGTCCTCGATATGTTCTTAGACTTGATAATAAGTCTACCAAGAAACGACTTTCTGGTTTAAGCCAGTATAAACCATAGCACTTCCCTATCACCGCGTCCGATGTTGTATGTGGATGTGGTAGTGGCGTTAAAACGTTTATTTGCTTAAAAAGATGCCGTAATGAGTCACGTGAACCCAAGCCATAGACAGCTCGTATCGCGTGTTTTTGCAACACAAATATTGTGTCGAAACATAACTATTAATTTAGTTGATTTAGTTGAGGTTAAATGAATAAATTATTAAAACCTAACCCTATCATCACCACCAACTCCTCTAAGTTACGCCGCAATAGCAAACAGCACGTAAGTCAAAATTAAACACAGCTCAGAATCCCAACGGATCTCGTAATTATTTCAAGAGTTTAGGGTTGCAGAATTCCTGGGTTTATTGCATAACGCTTACCAGTCACACCATTCACGTCATCTCCGTGTTTCTATCCTTATGACTGACAGATTAATTATACGCCTAGCTACACCTCGGCGTGTTGGTTATATTTAAAAGAAACTGTATTAGATGATAGGCATCCGGTTAAAAATAACTAAGAAAATACACTCTTAAAAGTTTGAAAGTTTTTGAACATGATAAATGACTGATGGTCGAGAGTGCTATTGAAAAATAACTGCTTAGTACGAGCAAGAGTCATGCAATTGTAGCAGTTTAAGATTGAATGGTAATTCATCATTCCGTATTATAATTCGGATACCCAAACAAGTGGTAGGCAGTTTGTACTAGCTTTCTAAAATATCTATTAAAGCAAATGCTTTGTTTTGTCTCTCACCATATATAATTGTTTTGTTTTCACTAAGCTAATTTGTATTTTTCTTTCACTTAGCCTTTGAATGACAGTGTATCTGTGATTCGTACCTCTATCAATATTCCAATGAAGGTTTTTTGCCATAGCGCAACGATTATTTTAGGCCATCCGAAAAAAATATTAGGTGTGTTGTTAATCCTAGCATCAACATCGCTAAACTGTGGATCAATGTTTGGCTTTCCTATCTTTATAGTTATCTTTATGTGTACATATTAACATGCTATCTTTCATATCTGCATATTAAATCTCAGCGTTTATAAACGTGAAAGCGATTACAATAAGACCTCATGTTGAACTGTCTCGGTGGAAGCCATAATGGACTATCGCGATCTATGTACTGTATGAAATTAAGATCTTTCCCTTTGTTTAAATGTTCATTATCCGCGGCGAGTGGTTCACTTTTGCCTTTTCGGTGCGGGATCTAAATCTAATGGGGCCAATTAAGCTCTGCCCAGTCGTCTGGCCGCATCATAAATCTCAAGACTTATTTGTGCTGATGTGCTTATTTGTGCTTAAATTCAGCCGCTGATAATGGGTAATGGCCGGAGAAAGTTCTGTGAGAACGATGTTCGCTTGCGAGCTGAGCTACTTCTGATGTTCCGAGGATAAACAAAAGGTCTTCTTTTAGTGATGAAATTGTTCTCCCGACCAATTTCAATATTCCACAAACACACACCATCTCATTTCACTGAATCGCTGGTGATGCTTTTTAACAAATTCTTTTAGTGTCTTCTTTGAACCTGACTATCTTCTTTTAAATTTTCCATATCTAGGCTTTTTCTTGCTTTTTTTTCTCTTTAAACTTAAATATATTTGACTCTTCTATTTTAAAATTCAATTATGTTGTTTTTTTATATAAAAGGCTAATTCTATACACTCCATGTATAGTCAATGATAAAATTGTATGGAATTTTTTGTGTAGAACAATAAAAGACTTGGTTTTGAATTTATTATACTTAAAATGTGTCTCAGTAATACCAATATTGGGACAAGGCTTATAATTAATTAACATGCGATTAGTTGTTAAGGCCCTCATAAACGATAACCGACGACGACTCGAGAATTTCAAATAAGAGCATAACACTTCTGGTTTTATGTAAGGTTATTTGTCATGACATGTAACTTTGTTGTTATATTTTCTTTTATATTTCTTAAATGTCAAATTAATTCAACCTAGTTCTTTTAATTTTATTGCAAAAATTGTAATTAAAGAACAGTTGACAATTTAAAAAGTATAATACAAAGCGAATGTATCATGACTATTGACATTTACTGTCGTTATCTACATTTCATCAAGTGTGTTTCTTTTAAACAATGTAATAAATAAGGTATTCCTTTCTTATACCTAAGAAGGAAATTAAAATATATGACGCGTAAGAACTGAAAAACTATAAATAGTTCGCTATTGCTAAGGCTGACATATTTTGTCAGCGCATGTCAGACGTTCTTCGCATAATGTTTTCAACCAATTCTTCTAAGAATGCTTACCAAAGAATTTGAGGATTGCACTAATACGATCAGTCTCGAGTCGAAAGCGTTATGTTCGGGATTTAAGTATTGTGAGAGTCCACATAAAACGATATTGAAGTCAAAACCGCGCACAACATAGCTCCGAGACTCCGGATCTTCTTTCCTGTATTTTCCCAATGGTACTCTTCAAACGAATAAAACGACACAGAGATTCAACCAAGCACATACGAATCAACATCGCCAATGCTCTTCAGGAGATAGCAACAGTTGACTCGATAGAGATCTTCCGCATCGTAAAAATAGCGACCCGACCGATGGTAAAAGTTCAAAGTTCTACGAACTACCAATCGGCTTGCATCTGTTACGTCACCGTTTGACCCGATGTCGCGTAGCAGTTACACAATTGGCCCGTAAGCGTAAATAGAGCGTCTCTGATTCGCGATGCGAGCACTCACGAGACCCATCTAGCGCTTGATGGCCGCTGATGTGACGGTAGAAGAAAGCGCTTTCGCTGATGAAAAAACAACAGTGTCCTAGTTGTCCTGACTTTTGGATTGGCGACACTCCTTTTGAATTGGCAACAGGGCAATTAGGCGGGATAGAATTCAGGAACTGGCCGTTTGCCCTTAAGGAAGAAAAATTTTTCTATTCACCTTTAATATGGAGTGTAATACTGAAATTCCTCCGCTTACTCCGTGAACGGTTTCTGTTCTGAACTTGTTTTTAACATTTAGTGGCGTAGTTGTTTAATCTATTTCGAGCCAAGCACGAAGTTTGTCGAAGGATTGCACATTATGTTAATACATAATTATTAGCATAAACACTCTCGCCTGCCTTGATTTTGCTAAGAAATGATGTACGAAGGAAAGGATTGGATGTAGGTACTTAGAATTCGCAGTCTAAAATAATATCAAAATATGTAAAGAACAAAAATTAAAAGAAAAGTTTTAAGAGTTACCTAATAGAGTAACTGCCAAACTACCTTCGCCGGCTAGGAAATGGTATATTCGCACGCTTGGTGTTTTAAAATAAAAACAAATTGTTCGCCCAGGGCATTTCGATATCAAGGACACGTTTCGCCTATTGTAGGTATATGAACAATTCTTGATAAAGCTGAATCTGAAATCATTTAAAATCTAGAAACCTTGCAATTTCGAATGAAACCAAAAAAAAGTGCGCCATCACAAAAAATCTTTCGGCATATTACTTAACAATCGCCAACTACGAATTCGCCGAGTGCCGTTCGCCAACACAGACGGCGATACTAATTAGCTGCGCAGCTAACCGCTGCTAAGCATGCGGGACGCGCGGTACGGCACTGCGCGTCGTGTCGTACCGATCCGCGCGCACACCGTCGTCACGAACCGGCAATTGGTACGACAATCGGCACCGACAGTGACAAATTGGCCGTACCGAAACGCGCCGCGCGGATAATAATTTGCTGTTGCACAGAGACGTTCATCATGAGCAGCCCATGCGGCTCGTGTTTAACGGTGTTCTGCCTCTTTCGAAGCACTAATTTAGTCGATACATCGCTTTTAAGTAGTGTCGTGTTGACGCATCAAACATTTGAAATATGAAACAACAATAATATTTATCCTTTAACAGCAGACCGAAATATGACAGCTGAAAAGCAACGTTCCCGAGACTAAAAGTGAAGTTATAAAAACTTGCGGCGAAAAAAGTGAAGTGTTTGTCACGGAATTTTGACAAGGTGACTAAAAAGTGATACTATCAGTCCAAAAGTTTGCGAAAATATCAAACTTAAGACACTGTTGTGCAACGTATTTGAAATCGGGGAATAACCCTTTCCGAGCGTCTTAAGTGAGTCTGTCAAAGCGGGTCCGGTTTTCGCGCGCTTTTCGTCGCCACTCCCGTTCGGATACGCGCCGCGTCGGCCGCGCCGTTTCGCTCCGCGCCCGGATAGTCGCAGATGCGCGCGCGCTGAGGGGGCGGCGGCAGTGCAGCGTTGTCGTGATAGGTGCACTGGGACGTCGTCAATGCGGCGGCGGCGTGTGCGCTATGACGCCGCCGCGGGCGCTGCTTGCGGCACTGCTGGTGTGCCAGCTGCTCTCCTACGGTGGCCACCAAGGACTCACCAAGATATTCTACATGTAAGCAGTCAGACGGTTTCGCTCACCGCCGCGTTGCAAGATGTTTTGCACGCTAACGTATGATGGGTCTTATCTTTAAGGTTCAGTGGATTTAGTCCTGATAAAGCAATGTATAGCGCGGCGTTTGGTTCTTAAAAGTTTTCCATTTACCTAATTCAGAAATTGATGTTTTAAGTAACAAGTTTTTAAGCAAAAGCTATGAATATTGTTTCATTTTCATTGTTCACTTTCAATACTACAATCAATACAGGTTTACACAGCTAAGTGATATGTAGTTCTCAATCTTAAATTTTATAAGACCTCCTTAATAATAGAAATATAAATGGGTATATAGAGATAAAAAACACCACACTTTATACAATGGTTATCTTAACGGAGAAGATGATAATAGAGGGTTTAACTTACGTTTACACATAAGAAGCTTTCCAAAATATAGCTGTTAAACTTACTTGTAAGTTCGCCTTATCTATAGGTCACTTTAACGTTTATCAGAGAGTGTAGATTTATATAACTGAACTGAATGTTTGTTGAATGTCGGAACGGTAGCTCGTGCAATTAAACTAAGACTCACTTGACTATGAAGGCATTGTTAGGAACTCATAATTTTATGACCGATAGATTTTACGACACGAAAGTCAAACGAGAGATAGTTATAATTATTGTGTACCGTAAACTTGTTATTAAAATGGAAATTCCGTTATGGCCATAGGAAATACATATAAACTTAATTAGTCCTAACCACAAATAACCTTCACGATCGTACAATACGTTAATGAAAGTTAATACGTAATTAGAATCTTAAATTCTATACTTTTTTATTTATTTATTCGAAAAGTTGTCAAACGAGCAGACGGTTCACCTGATGTTAAGTGAATACCACCGCCCTAAGACATCTGCCACACCCGAGGGTTACAGATGCGTTGACAACGTTTTGAAAATTGTGCTCTGGCTACCTCAGTCACCAAACGAAACGCGAAAGTATTTGTCATACTTCCACTCTACGCTGGTCTTCTGTGAGGTCGTGGTACTTACCCGGACGGGCCTGCCCATTCGTGCAACAGCCGAGGCTGCTGCGTGACCCTACCACCGTAAATATACAATAAAGATAATAATATAATCTATATGCTGCGATGCGTTATCTATTCAAACGCTGTGATGTTATTCTATTTACGAAATAATTAACAACAACACTTGGTATGTTGCTCGACGATTCGTAGAAAAATAATAATCTTTTGTAAAAATAAAAATTAAAACAGATCAATACATTTCGCATCCATAAATGTATAATTACTGAAATATATTAAAGCGTTAAAAATTAATATTTAAATATTGCATTGAATATCTAATTTTGGTTGAATCTTAATAATAATAAAGAGAAAGCAAAGTGAAGAGAAAAAAAAGCTTGTATGTATGGATGGATGTTTTTTACTCTTTCACGCAAATGAATGGATATTAATGAAACTTTACAATAATATAGCTTATATATCCGAATAACACATAGGCTGTAATTTACATACATATTTTTATGTATCTCTGTCTTACTGTCTGAATTTTACACCTTCAGCTTATTCTAGGCAGACGTAGTCGCGGGCAGCAGCTAGTACCAGTTAATTAAACTTTCATCATTCAATTTGTTCCGGCAGTATTGGAAGCGACACCGCCGGGCGTGGGTTAGGTGTTCTTGTGTAACGGTTCGCAAATTGCGAATGTGTGGCCAATAATATAAGAGGGGCTCGGTAGGAATTTGCACCGCTACATAACTACCTCGTCCTATATGTAAACTAGCAACGCTCGCAGCTTCCTTCGCAGAATTTATACCATGATTTTCAAAAATCTTTCCACTCTTCAACATACGGTGTTAAACGTACTGTCGACGATCGTTCAATTTTGACGAAACAAATCTAGACAAAGGTTGAGCTATTATGCCACATTATATTGGTGTTTCAATCGTTTCATATAACATTTAGAAATTGTCCAATGGTTTGTTAGTGCTCCGGTAAATCGTGGATGAAATATTCCAGAAATATTCTTTACCTAACTTTACTTAACCGTCTATTTAATGTTTTATGTTTAGATGTTTATGTCTCTATTGTTTAGATAAGTCACCGTGGAGATATAGCGGATGACCACAGCAATACGCTTGTATAAATATTCGTGTTCATGTCTTGTAATATAATAAATTCATAATTGTGTTATAACTACTCAGTCTGTCTTTCATACAATGTCTCTCGAATCGGAACGGAATTCATCTTACGCTTAGGACATGAGTCATTCGAGCTTTTGGGTGGACATAACATTTAACAACTGACCAATATGGATTTTATCGTGTTTGGACATTAAATGTACTATATTATTTATATCTATATTGTGCCAAACAAATTTGAACGCTGAGTATAATATAAGAAGTGTTTTAGAAAATGTTATGTATATGAAAATGCAATTATTGTCATTTCACTACTATGAAATAAGTGGAAAATATCCATCTAATGGGTGTACTGGTTTTTCAACGTCTATACAACTTTCGTCGCTGCTGTAACGACTTACGGCGCGTTGAGTAACTTTTCTTTTCTGAACTTATATTTCTATCGTTTATATATGTCATAAATTTGTTGAGAACACCAGGATAAAAATAATTTTTATAAGGAAAATGTTAAGTCCTCTAATAACACTTCAAATAAAACATTAAGTACATTCATATATTCCGGGAAGCCAATGTTTTTGGTGTCAAAACAGATGTGGGAAATTCACACATTGTATGTGAAAATTGACGTTAGTCGATGAACCGTTTGAACTAATTGGTTGTGCAGGAATGATGGTTTTCTGATCTCAAGTATACTGATATCTTGTTTTATTTTCGCATGCGAAATTTTGCACGCTTTGGACTTCCGCCACGCAACTTCGCTATGTGATTTTGTTGTGCAAAACAAATACGCTATTGAGATACCCGATGGACGGGGAACGATAGTAGTAAAAGCACTTTCGTTTGTAATATAAGCTCTCGCTGGACACCGCCAGATGGTTGCATGTTTGCTGGATTCAATAGACATGTATCCATGAAGGCAATCATACATAATTTATCGCCGTACGCTCGGTTGAGTTGCGCGGACGGATGGCGTCCCGGTGATCGGTCAGTTTAACAACAGTTGGATCACTGAACGCTGCAAGTTTATATTTGCAGATGATTGTTTCGGGAGTTTGTTATGTGCAAACAGAACTGGTGCGTTGATCGTAATGATGTCGTTGGTTTAGATGTTTACCTGCTGTAGGGCCACGCAGCAGCCTCGGCTGTTGCCCCAATGGGCAGACTCGGCCGAGTACGAACCACGACCTCACAGAAGACCGACGTGAAGTAGAAGCATAATACTTTCACCTTTCGTCTGGTGAGTGAGGTAGCCAGTGCCCAATTTTCAAAAGGTTCGCATCTACATCGGGTGTAGCAGGTGTCCAAGAGCGCCGGTATTCACTTAACATCAGATGAAACGCCTGTTCGCTTGGCAATTTTTCACATTAAAAAAAAAGAAGTGCTTTCCCGTGACCATGTCATATCGCTGATCGTCACGCGGATTCTGTGGCGATTTGTTGCCAGAAAAGCTTGGCTTAAGTGTGTATATATTTCCGCAGATAATGAGTTATTTTTTTTTTATTTAATATCGTAGCATGATTGTGCAAGTTTGCGGGAAATCGATGGATGCAGGTGGCTCAGGATCGTGCTTCGTGGACACGGCTCAGAAGGGATATCGGGCTATAGTTCTTCAAGAGAGCGTTATCGCCTTTTTTGAAGAACAGCACCACCACACTTCTGCTCCACGCCTCTGGCACCACCCTGAAGGACGGAATTAAAGAGCCTCTGAAGGAATACAAGTACCGGTTCTCCACCCGCTTTCAGAAGCTCTGCTGTAATTCCGTCCTCTCCCGATGCTTTGCCATTCTTAAGATGGTCAAGAGCCATTCTAATCTCGCTCAGACTGACGTCCGGAATATTTTCTGAATAGTGTCGAATAAGCTTTGCTCTTGGGTCGTTACTCACACATGTGTGTGGCTCCAACGACGATGTGTACAGCTGTCCATAGAACCTCTCTATCTCACTCAAAACGTCTGGTCTACTGGAGATGATAGCGCCGCTGTCAGTCTTCAACTTAGTTGACTTTGTCCGATAGACAGATCACTGGCGAAGACTTTTGAGCCTAGGTTCCGCTCTATAGCTCCCTCAATACGAGGTTTTATACGTAATATATATGAGTGCAAATTTATTGTATTTGTGTATATTGTCCTTTGATTAACTAATAGCAATAATGCTTTTGACATTGTATTCGATTGTTACTTTTAGTAAATTTAATAATCGTTACGTCATTGTTATTATTAAATTTGCTGCGTTTTTGTTATTAGATGTGTTACGGCTGCATTCAAAAATACCGGTTATTCGATTTCTTATCGCGTATATGTTTCTGTCACACGTCGCGTGCCTTCGGGCGATAACGCTTTTAAAACACAATTAACTTCGGTCGGCTGTTACGAATTACGAATTAATAGATATGAGTTTTCAACAATACTTTATATAAAGTATACGACTCGATATCAATCGGCTACCAGCATCCAACGATTAGCCAGAAACGTTCAGTTTTTATGTTGCTGATAAAGTAATAAATGTCAGAGACAGCCAACATATTTATTTTATAAGATGACTTAAAGGCGCAGTTGCCAAGGTATTGGCTTCGGATTCGGGGGACGTGAGTTCGATCCACACATGGGACAACTATTTGTGTGACCCACAGATACTTGTTTCGCATCTGGGTGTTTGTCCGCGTGAAGTTTATGTTTGTAAAACGTCCTTACAACACATGATAATGCACATGCAAGAATAAAAAAAAATTCTGCTCTAGTTCCACAGCATAAGTGAGAAATGGTTGTCAGTATAAATAAGAAACTTTGATGTTAGTGTACGACACTGGTAAACTTCCAACTGTTTACTATGTGGGCACAAAGAGCGCCAATCTCTGTAGAATGTTGTTGCTCGTTGACATTATCGACGTGTTTACTGCCTGTGCAAAAGGACGGTTTTAGTTATTTTCTGTGTAAGCAATAATGATGTGTAAAAATTCTGTGTAATTAAAAATGGCCGTGAGTTCTTTTCACACTTCAAACAATCTCTCATTTCGCAAATAATATCGTTGGTTTAAATTTCTGTATAAAGATCTGCACTAAAGATGAGACACTTTTTCTACAAGTTTTTACACTAGTTTTTATATAACAATGGTGGCTTATTAAATAAATAATTTAAAATTCTTCTGGAAATTTCGGTTCAACTTCTATTCACAGTTTACCAATGCATATTGAGGTTTATACTAGGCACTTGCATAGCTAGCTTGTCGTCTCAGCGCCGGCAGTATGCCGATGTAAATATGTCGTTATTAAAGTCTGTTTGAAAATATTACATCGGGAAACATAATTTTTTTTAAATCATTTCAGTTAGACATCCTGCAATACACTATTAAGTCATTACGGTAATAAAACGTTGTTATTTGTAAGCGAAATCAAAACGACGTATTCTTACGAAACATCAGGCGATCCTGAAAGTTACATTTTAACGATTTGTTTGCTATAATTAGTGGAATTAAAATAATCGGCAGGTAACTCTCCAGTGCCGGAACGAAAAATAATTTTACACAGAAAAAGAAAAGTAAAATACTTTTTGCCGGGAAGCGTAAAAAGATATGTGGCGGAATAGTTTCATTTTTTCATACACACTACATAAATTGAATTTAAGCACGTGTATCAACCGCACGCGACTATAATACTCCGTCCATTATTTGCATTGTATTGATTGAATGAATGAATGTAAACTAAAACATTCACATGCGTACCGCGACGCTGCACATGCGACCTCATTGACAATGCACGTGACGCGTTAAAAGAAATCATACTTACTCCATATTTTGAAATAAATCCGTTCATGAAAACTTTTGTAGAGAGTTATTAACACAGCTAAACCCTGTGTGTCACTTAGTTATTTTTAAACCGAAATGTAAACGGGGTTGTCTTTTTGAAAACATTAGACGGTAACATTGTAACACCTAAACCTCAAAAACCAGTAACCTATAATACGCATAAACTATCAATGCTTGTTAACCATCAATCACTGCATCAAGCTTTACCTCCAACTTTTTTCTCGGAAAGTCGGTCAAGAAGCAGCCAGTACCTAATAACCTTAATCATTTGAGTTATCGTTACAATGATTACGAACATTTTTTCATTACTAAATAGAAATTAAATGGAAGAAAACATTAATAATGACCGAATCTTACGAATTTATACTAAGAGATCAATAAAACCTATTACAACAGTTGTAGGTTTTGTGAAAAATGCATGTTCGTTCACACAACATGTCTTCCCAGACAAGAACCCAATCTGGACAATTTACCGCTGATTGTCTCAATTGGACGCGACCGTTTTACATTGAAACATATGGATGGTTGGGTTATATAGTTTTGTCGAATTTTATTACGTCTGCCCTTAATTTCAGATTGATACTTTAGAAAACATCTGTTGAATTATATCTTTAGCTGTTAGAAGAATCTGTAATAATAATAATGATCAAATAGTAATAGAAATGTTTATTCCTGAGAAATGTTAACTTTTTAAATTTAATATACTTATTCATTCTTTTCTTGTGATTTCAGGTTACCTGACACGGGACAGCCTCCTATACTCATCTCTCTGGTGGAAAACGCAAAGCTAGATTTAAAAGCCGCTGATGAACTATTGTTTGTCAATGAATCCGAAGAACATAATGACACGAAAAGGTTCACCATCGGAGAGGTCGACGCTGCTACGGAGGCAGAAGACGTTGGTACAGAGAAGGAATCCACAGAACCATTGCTCGTCGTTAAAGCGAAACCAATGCACGAAACAAGACAAACAGAAGATGCATTTCGAGGCGCCACTCCCACACCAGAAGTGGAAAAAGAATCTCAACCGGAGGAGAGAAGGGAGGAAAACATTCCAGTCAAGCCGGAGACGCCCCAAGAAGACATCCCCTCGTTCTCAGAGTGGGCTCAGAAACAATTGGCCGAGGCCGAAAAGAAAGACACAGTGCTGAACCACTCGAGTCAACCTAGTCATAGCAATACAAACTTTAGTAATAAAAGCACAAAGCTTCGCTCAAAAAACTACGCTTCGCTCGCTTGCGGGGCGAAAGTGGTGGCAGTCAACCCCGAGGCCGGCTCGGCCAGCTCAATTTTATCCCCTAACAGGGACGAGTACATGCTCAACACTTGCAACAGCCGAATCTGGTTCGTGGTAGAGCTCTGCGAGGCAGTTCAAGCGCAGAAGATCGAGATAGCCAACTTCGAGTTGTTCTCCTCGACTCCCAAGGACATCGCCGTGTACTTCAGCGACCGTTTCCCGACGCGCGATTGGGCCAGCGTCGGCCAGTTCACCGCTCAGGACATGAGGGACGTACAGAGCTTCGATCTGTACCCGCATTTGTTCGGTAAATTCATAAAAGTGGAAATGCTCTCGCATCACGGCTCCGAACATTACTGTCCGATATCGCTTTTCAAAGTGTATGGAACGTCAGAGTTCGAGGTGCTCGAAAAGGAAAGCTCCCAGCACACTTCTCATATAGATGAGGATGAAGACGACGAGATAATCGACGTTCCGGATGTGCCAACGGTAGACGCGGAGCCGTCTAAAAACCTTTTTGGATCTGCCAGAGACGCAGTCATGTCTATTATGAAGAAGGCCGCTCAAGCGTTAGTGAAGACAGAAGTTCCTAAAAATATATCTAATGAAAACAATGATACGTCTGTTGACGAAATGTACAAAAAATGTTGCTCCCCCAGCCATATTATTGTATGTGATAATTGTAGTGAAACGCTATATAACGAAGTGTATGAGTTACTCAGTTGTAGTTCGGACAAGTTAACTAATTTAGTGCGTCAAGTGTTCCTACGAGATACTTTGAAGTGTACGGGAATTTGCCAGCCATTTGGCTTAGACTTTAAAAGTACAAAGACAATTGAATTTAGTGATGAACGTGTCGCGTACATGAACGCTCTGTTACCGCCTAAATATTTGGCGGCGTTGTGTAATATTCTCGCTATAAAAGAGAAAAAGGTAGTGTTAAACTCCAGCTTCGAGACTGAACAAAACGTTACCACAAACATAACTCTGGACGAATCGCCGCAGAAAATTAACAGCGAAACGAATTCTGAATTAGAAATCAAATTAGTGCCGATCAAAAATAACGAGAGTGCAGACGATAAAACCAATGAGACTCAGTTGAAAGAAACACCGGCAGCATCAGAACAAACAAATGAGAACAGTGTTACCATAGAGTTATTGAAAGAGGAGAAAGAAGAGACGGACATCAAAAAGGAAGAACAAACAGTGTCAGAGGATATTTCAGTACCGGAGGTAAAAGAGGAATCTGCGTTTGAAGGCGCTCGAGGCTTGGAATCGGAAGGCGAGATCGAAGTTAGAGAGGGCTCCCCGAAAATAGATATGAAGAACGGAAAATCGGAGTCGACAATGGATAAATCAAAGGAGCCCATCGTCGTTGAGGAGATGACCGATCAAATGATAATGATCGAGAGCGACAACTTCATATCGGACCTGGACCAGATGGCTGTGGACCCCGCGCCAGCCGGATCGCAGACTCTCAACCAGAACCAAGTACAGACCACTTTGCAGAAGGAGTCTGTATTCCTGAGACTGTCTAACAGAGTAAAGGTAAGCTTGGCCCGCATAAAATTAACTCTGTCTGTAAATTTATCACTATAAATATATAAAATAAGTCCAAAAATTATCCCCATAACACTATTTATTCAAGTTCGTTCATAAAAACTGTTTTACGGATTTTATCGCGGATTATATTTACTTCGTGAGTCCTGGCTACCTCACTCAACAGACGAAACGCAGAAGTAAAATACTTCCACCTCACGGTTTTCTGTGTGGTCGTGGTACTTACCCGGACAGACTACTACCACTAGTGCAACAGAGCAACAACACTATTGCGTGGCTCTAAATATACGCTGCTTTCGTTAACATTTTTATAGAAAATCTAAAACTTTTTGTTATTAAATAAATAAGGATACTTTGATAGTGCTGGTTACTCAGGCTAAACTATTGGCTTCGCCCTCGTGAACTGTGGGTTTGATTCGTGGCATGCGGGACAAGTATATTTGTGTTACCTTTTACTAAACACAAAAACATACGATTAGGCGACACGATTACATAATTCTTTTTTTGCATATTATCTGTAGTATATCGTTAAATGTTAATTTTCTCTCACTTTCAGACTTTAGAACGGAATATGTCATTGTCCGGTCAATACCTGGAGGAGTTGAGTAGGCGCTACAAGAAGCAAGTAGAGGAAATGCAGAAATCATTCGAGAAGACCATGGTCCAGATGTCCGAGGAGCGACGGAAAAGCAACGAGAGAGAACAGAAGTACTTGGAGCAATTGACAAACTTGCAGGAGCAGCTTACCCAGATGGCGTCCGCTCTGAACACGCTGATGGAGGAGAGGAACAGCTGGTTCGGCAACATGACCGTGCTCAAGTTCATACTGTTTCAGACGGTGGTACTCACCGTCGCGTTCTACTACGTGTCGAAACGGAGAATGAGCGAGCACGTCGTGATGGTGCCCGTCGCGAAGAAGATAAAGAGGAAGCAAGACAAGTTCAGGAGGAAATCGGTGGAGGGGGTCAGCGGCCACGCGACGCCGTCGACGAAGAAGCGGCGGCCCAGCGAGGAGGCGTTCCAGATAGAGAGGCAGTCCACGGAGGAGATGGAGCGGGAGGCGGCCGAGGGCGGGTGGCAGGTGGCGCGGAAGAACAGAAGAAGGAAGACCTCGGTGATGCACAGGGGTCCGGAGTACGAAGCGGAGGTCAGCTGCACGAGGCAGGACAGCATGGGCGAGCTCCAAGAGAACCCGATACCGCTCGACGGCGGCGAGTACTTTTCCCCCGTGTCGGAACCGCGAGAGTTCACCGGAGACACCCCAACTAAGAAGGATTCGCCGAAGGCGAACGGCTCATTCTTCAACAGCCTGAAGTCGAAGACGATGAAGACGAGGCGGCTGTCTTCGCCGGCCTTTTTGAGGACGCTAAGCAGGCAGAGCGCTAGAAGTACGCCCAGCCCCGTTCCTAGGACAGCGGAGCCGATGTTCAACGGGCGGCTGGAGAAGAAGGCGCCCTCCGAATCGCCCACCGGCAGCCTCTGGTCCGAATCCACCGAGATATCGAGCAACGGCCACCGCGAGAGCGAGACGGTCGGCAAAAAGAGGAAGAGCCTGAAGAACATACTGAAGAAGGTGTTCTAGTGCGAACTATTGTTTTACGACGCTTGCAGTCCGCTTCGTTAGCGTTAAGCTATTGTAAATTATTTCTATTTCGCGTATCTGATGGAGATATTAATTAAATTATTGTATAAATGTTTCGCGTGTCGTTGTTAGACATAAATAGGTGCCAATTGTGATAATTAGGGAGCCTAATTGTTAGCCTTTTGCGGATTGTGTTTTATGCGGTTGTTTTTTGTGAGGCGTGTGTTTGGTGCGAATTGTGCTACGGACCTATGTCTACGACACCAGTCGGGATGGATTTTAGTACATGAAGTGGTATTAAATGCGTTAATATATATTTCGGGTCGTTTCATTTTCTTGCTCTGAAACACGTTACGTAGGTTTTTTTTAATGTGAAAAGTTGCCAAGCGAGCAGACATTTCACCTGATGTTAAATGAATACCGCCGCCCATGGACATCTGCTACACCCGAGGGTTCCAGATGCGTTGAACTGCTTTCCGAACCGGTGGTAACTTACGAACGTGTTCATTTCTTGTAAAATTTTGACGTTTCATAAGAACGCGCAAGCGTCTATGTGAATAAAGATATTTTTATTTATTTATTTATTTATTTATGTTGACAACCTTTTGAAAATTGAACTGCGGCTACCTCACGCCCGAGACGAAACGCGAAAGTATTATACTTCCACTTTACGCTGGTCTTCTTTGAGGTCGTGGTACTTACCCGGACGAGCCTGCCCCTTCGTGCAACAGCCGAGGCTGCTGCGTGGCCCTACCACCGTAAATATATAGGTATAACAGTTTACGTGATATCGTTTGGTTTGAAATACTTCTGGAATTGGATAAAATCACATTTTTGTTTACAAGAATCACAAGTATAACAACAATAAAACTAATATGATATCAAGGTCTAAGTTAAGGTTATTTGAGTCAATTTCAGTCAAGACTAACTAAATCAGAAAAATGCTTTGCTCTACACTTGTTTTAGAATTGAATACGATAAACTTTTCTTTTCTCAGAATTTATTTTTAATTTATTTTTATTTGTAATGACTAAAAAAACCTCTAGTTCATAAAAATAGTGAAAGGTTAAAACAAGTATTTGTATCATAGTTAAGACAAGGCAATAAAAGAAAATGACGAAACATCAATAAAATATGTAATTTATTACAAAGTCATCAGGGATTGGAAACAATTAGCAAAAGACCCTATAAATCATTTAAAAGGCGGTGCTTAAAAAAATATAGGACAAATAAATATTCCCGTCTTGCAACAATCATGTTGCAACTACTTTAATATCGAACTCTAGAATTCGTTTAACAGGTCTAAAATTATTTTTCAATAATTTGATAAATAATTAAGGTACCTATATTTCTATAAGATGTGTATTTTTAAACTACTAAAATAAGTCCGTTCTTAATCATTTTGTTCACTTAAATATCCTTTTATTATCCGTTTATTTAAATACAAAAAAATACAGTACTTAAAAATTCACAATCATAATCGACACGGTTAATATCACCATATAGAATTTCTATTTCACGAAACATATGTATAAAAAAGTTAGCCAGTAGTAAGGTCACATCGAAAATCTATAAATCAAAGTCATAATATAAACTAAGCGAGCGTTTTTGCCTCGTACATTTAAAAAAACGATTCGTTTAACATAAGCAAACTCAAATCCTGCATTCTTTCTTGTTCCCTACTGATGTAAATTGCGTACTCCAAGAGAGCTTAAGACAAGTTCAGTTCGATTCAATGCATCCTAGATAGCACGATAATGACACTGCAATAAGCCAGCACATATTTTGGGGCTAGCTCCGTTGAACGATATTCATCTTCAAGCACAACTATCACAATATAGGTAGCGAACACAGCTTGGGGTTAGCTCTGTTCATTGATTTACATCCTCTATGGCATAACTATAACAATATAGGGAGTGAATTTAAACTTAATTTGAAAAAAACTTTATTTAAAGATGGCAACGCATTCGGAACCCTACGGGTGTTGCAAATGTCCATGGGCGACGGTTATCACTTAACATCAGGTGAACCGCCAGCTCGTTCGGCACTTTGTCACATAAAAAAATACATAGCTTATGGCAAGCTCAGTTCAATACGATGCATCCCTAATAGCTCAATAATGACAATTAGTGAGCGAGCATATACCTTGAGGCTAGCGTTGTTCAATAATAAACATTCTATACAGCAGAACTATGACATTATAGGTAGCAAGCATATAGCTCGAAGCTCGCTTTGTTCAATGATATATATCCTCAATAGCTCAAGTATGACATTATAATAAGCCAGCATATATCTTGAGGCTAGCGTTGTTCAGTAATAAACATCCTCTACAGCACAACTATGACATTATAGTTAGCAAGCACAAAGCTTGAAGCTCGCTTTGTTCAATGATATACATCCTCGATAGCACAACTATGATGATATAACGATCCCGCACATAGCTTGAGGCTAGCTCCGTCCAATGGCATACGGGCCCAACAGCACCACTAAGACAGTATAGTGAGGGACTGGAGGAAGTCCTTGAGGTCGACGCACTTGAGCGGCACGAGGCGGTTGGAGCGCGCGGCCGCGTTGAGGCCCTTGGCGGCCGCCTCCAGCGCGTCGGGGCTGAAGGGGCCTCGCGCGGCGAGCACCACCTCGTTCACCTCCTCGCCGAGCCGCACGCTGGCCACGTGGCCGAAGAGGGCCCGCAGCGCGGACAGCAGCGCCCGCCGCGGCGCCGCCTCCCGGCACACCAGGTTCACGATCAGCTGCCCTGCAACGGGGGAGGTTCTTTTCATGTGGATGTTAAATGTATACCGCCGCCCTTGGACATCTGCTACACCCGAGGGTTGAAGACGCGTTGACAACCTTTTGAAAATTGAGCTCCGGTAACCTCGCTCACCAGACGAAACGTGAAAGTATACTTTACTTACATAGTATACTTCCACTTTACGCCGGTCTTCTGTGAGGTCGTGCTACTTACCCGGACGAGCCAGCCCATTCGTGCAAAGAAAAAACATAATACTGTTGCGTGGTCCTACCGGTAGGAGAGACGTATCCGGTAATTGTCCACGATTAGTATTTCGTTAGTTGACGTGACATGTATAAGTTACGATGGGGTTGGCGTATTATAGATAAAAACCCCACAAAAATAAATACAACGAAACGTATACACGACTAATAGAATACTCTAGGTATTCTAATGATGCTGTTAGACAGGGAAAATGATAGTCTATGTCTACTACTGGTCTCTATGTCTACTACTGGTCTCTATGTCTACTACTGGTCTCTATGTCTACTACTGGTCTCTATGTCTACTACTGGTCTCTATGTCTACTACTGGTCTCTATGTCTACTACTGGTCTCTATGTCTACTACTGGTCTCTATGTCTACTACTGGTCTCTATGTCTACTACTGGTCTCTATGTCTACTACTGGTCTCTATGTCTACTACTGGTCTCTATGTCTACTACTGGTCTCTATGTCTACTACTGGTCTCTATGTCTACTACTGGTCTCTATGTCTACTACTGGTCTCTATGTCTACTACTGGTCTCTATGTCTACTACTGGTCTCTATGTCTACTACTGGTCTCTATGTCTACTACTGGTCTCTATGTCTACTACTGGTCTCTATGTCTACTACTGGTCTCTATGTCTACTACTGGTCTCTATGTCTACTACTGGTCTCTATGTCTACTACTGGTCTATGTCTACTACTGGTCTATGTCTACTACTGGTCTATGTCTACTACTGGTCTATGTCTACTACTGGTCTATGTCTACTACTGGTCTATGTCTACTACTGGTCTATGTCTACTACTGGTCTATGTCTACTACTGGTCTATGTCTACTACTAATCTTGGTATACACCAACCGTCCTGTTTGAGGATGGCCTTGGCGTCAGCTAGCGCTGCCTCCTCCAGGAACTGCCTCGGGGGGCAGGAGAGGCCCACGGACGCATCCTTGCTGTCCATGTCCAACATCACCGCGTCGTACCGCCGCCCTGTAAAGTGCAAAATGCAACCAAATTCAAATTATCTTTATTCAATAAATAGACGCTTTCGCGTTCTTATGGTAACGTCGAATTTTATATTATAATAGATACTTAAGGTTGTAAGTTACCACCGGTTCGGAAGACACTTTCTGTTGAGAAGAGACCGGCAGGAAATTGATTAGGTGCACTTTTTTAGGGTTCCGTACACAAAGGGGGCGTACGTAAAACGGGCCCCTATTACTAAGACTCCGCTTTCTGTCTGCCTCTGCCCAGCTAAAGGCTTGAACCGTGATAGATAGCAACTCAAAGATGCTGAATTTAATTCACTTTATGGACTAAATGAAATTTAGTTTAAAATTGACGACCCGAATGGCGTAGTGGGTGTAGTGTACCTGCCTCCTGCGTCAGAGGGTGTGGGTTCGATCCCCACTACTGGAAAAATATTGTGTGATGAACATAGTGTTTTTCTAGTGTCTGGGTATGTATATATGTATAATATGTATTTATTTACAAAAGAAAAGTATGTTTATCACTTATCTACTACCCATAGTACAAGCATTGCTTAGTTTGGAACTACAGAACGTTGTGGAAAAATGAGTCTTAAAAATATTTATTTATTATTATTATTTATATTATTCGTACACTTTATACCAAAAAATCCATTCAAAAATAATATTGCGGTTTATTTAATAAAAGGAATATTGCGGTTTTTCTTGGCTCGAATATCTTTTAACAGTGATATTTGTGCGTCAACAGTGCGTATGGTGAGTAAGGTAGCCGGGGCTCACTTAAAAATGGCAACACATCTGCAACCCTACGGCTGTTGCAAATGTCCATGGGCGGCGGTTATCGCTTAACATCGGGTGAACCGCCATCTCGCTTGCCACACATAACACACATTTTACTGTGGTAGGGCGCGTGGCCCTACTCAGGCCTGCTGCCGGCAGCCTCGGCTGTTGCACGAACGGGCAGGCCCGTCCGGGTAAGTACCACGACCTTACAGAAGACCGGCGTAAAGTGGAAGTATAACAAATACTTTCGCGTTTCGTCTGCTGAGTGAAGTAGCCGGAGCCCAATTTCTTTTTTTTCTTTTCAGTTGTCAACGCACCTGCAAACCCTAGGGTGTAGCAGAAGTCAATAGGCGGCGGTATTCACTTGACATTAGGTCCACCTGCTCGATTGGCAACTTTTGAAATAAAAAAAAAACCCATATGTATCAATCGTACACACGCTCCGAAATACGACAAGAACATAATCTAGTCCGATGTAAACCACTCACCAGCTGCGGCCTCGTCCCTGAGGAACTGCAGGCCGTCCTGCAGCCGCACCTGCAGCCGCCCGTCCAGCTCCATCTGGAAGTGGCGCGTGGCCACCTGCAGCATCGCCTCGTCCAGCTCCACGCCGGTCACCGACGCGCCGCTCAGCCAGCGCTTGAGGAACATGCACAGTCCGCCGCCGCCCACGCCCAGCACGCACACGTCCACGCCCACGCCCACGCCCACGCTCGGCCTCTCACCCGCGCCCACGCCCACGCCCGCCGCCAGGGCCACGCCCACGCACATGAACGCGTGGTACGTGGATATGTGGCCGAAGTCGATGACCGTCTTGGTCTTGCCCTTTTTTTGCACTGAAATTGTCATCATTCAATGTTTATTATTTTAATTACCAAAGCCTTACCATTTCGGTGTGGAAGTATTATTTATTTTTGCCCATGATCTCTTACCATTAGACGAACCACATGCTCATTCAAATATTTTTATTCAATACTAGCTGGTGACCGCGACTTCGTCTGCGCAGGAATAGTACTTCGGGTAGGTTATTTTTTTCTTCAAGGTCATATTTACTTTTACACCAAAATTCAGCGGTTCAGCGGTTTAGTCGTGAAGGCGTAACAGACAAACAGAGATACTTTGAGCGACCCTTGCATATTTATGAATTATAGCCTACTAGCTGCCGCCCGTGACTACGTCCGTAGAATAGGCTGAAAGCGTAACATTCAGACAGATATACATAAAATATGTATATAAATCATAGCCTATGTGTTATCCTGATGTATAAGCTATATTATTGTAAAGTTTCATTAAAATCCATTCAGTAGTATTAGCGTGAAAGAGTAACAAACATCCATCCATACATACAAACTTTTGCGTTTATAATATAAGTAAGGATATGTTATTCTGATGTATAAGCTATATTATTGTAGTTTTATGCATTACACTTACTTATTGACCGTCAAAACAATACCACCGGGTTCGGAAAAGGAAAGACCAGAGAAGAAGCGGAGAAAGAAACTCAGCGGGGCATTCATTCACCATCTTGATAAGGTTTCCATCACCTACCGGTCTTAAGCTTCGCCTCCGACTGCACCAAGAACTGGTTGTCGAGGAACACGAGGCGCCTGTAAGTGACGCCTTCTACGTCCACGTCCTCGACCACAAAGTCTCCGGACACTTTAGATGAGCCCTCGTACACCTTCACTCGCTTGCCCACGTCGCTGCCGAGTGACAGGAACGGTATCTGTCGACGTGACGAGAATGGCATATTTTTTTTTTTATGTGAAAAGTTGCCAAACGAGGAGACGGTTCACCTGATGGTAAGTGAATACCGCCGCCCATGGACATCTGCTACACCTGATGGTTACAGAGGCGTTGAGAACTTTATGAAAATTGGGCTCCAGCTACCTCACTCACCAGACGAAAAGCGAAAGTATTTGTCATACTTCCACTTTACGCTGGTCCTCTGTAAGGTCGTGGTACTAACCCGGACGTCATTCATGCAACAGCCGAGGCTGCTACGTAGCCCTACCACCGTAAACGTAGGTAGAACATTAAAACATTAAAAGTTGTAGAAAAAGTACGAAAAGATTGTCGCCGCTGTGGGAATCGAACCCACGTCTTCGGCATTCGCGGCGTGACGCTTTAGCCACTAAGCTAAACGACTAATTGCCACAGCGGCGACAATCTTTTCGTAGTTTTAATGTTTAATCTTAAGTGCAGAGATTAGCACTATGAAAAACTTTAAATTTCTAAGTAGAACATTTTGAGTTAAAATGTATGCATAAGTTAAAGTTAAAAGAGTTAACAAAAGTGCTTGGACACATTTCTACACAACGTTCTCTAGTCCCAAACTAAGCTACGCTTGTACTTCGGTACTACTAGGTAACAGATAAACATACTTAAACATACATTTATTTTGTAAATAAATACATAAACACCCAGACAATTGAAAAACACTATGTTCATCTCACAATATTTTACCAGTAGTGGGGATCGAACCCACACCCTCTGGCGCAAGAGGCGGAGTATGGGGTCGTCGGAAATTGACGAAAATGAACGGATAAGGAATCTTGATCTAGAGAACATTTGGATCAAAATTTCTTAAAAACCGGCTAAGTACGAGTCTTACTCGAGCACGAAAGGTTCCGTATCATTCTTATCATCTATAAAAACGGCAAAAAATCATGTCTGTTGAGACCCAATTAAATATTTCTTTATTCTGCTTTTTAGTATTTGTTGTTATGGCGGCAACAGAAATATATCATCTGTGAAAATTTCAACTGTCTAACTATCACGGTTCTCGAGATACAACCTGGTGACAGACGGACAGACAAACAGACAGTGAAGTCTTAGCAATAGGGTAATGTTTCACCCTTTGGGTACGGCGCCCTAAGAAGCTATATTTTTGTAGTAACGAAGAATACCAGTTATAACGCACCTGGCCAGAGAACCCATTGGGCACGAGCATTTTGGCGGAATGCGTCAACTCCTCTTTGACTGCGTCGAGGCTCTGGAACTGGTGGCCGCGCCTCAGCACCGCCACCACCAGGCGGCCGAACTTCGCAGAGTCTTGCAGCTGTCGCCTACCAGCCGGCGTCCCGAACAGCCACTCCGACTCTCTGAGGAGTTGGACGTCAGAGATCAAAATACGGGGAGTATATCCGGACTCTAACTAAATGTTATCGTTGGAACATTCCGAGAAAAGTTGACTTTCTATTTATCACCATAAATTGTATAGAGTTGTAGGGACGCAATGATCCATACTAATGTTATAAACGCGAAATTAACTCTGTCTGTCTATCTCGCTTTCACGCCAAAACCACTGAACCAATTTAAATGAAATTTGGTACACAGATAGTCTAGAAGCCTAGCCTGAGAAAGGACATAGGCTATATTTTTTTATTGGAAAAGGGGGATAGATATTTATTTAAGGGCTTCAACGCGAGCGAAGCCGCGGGCGAATAGATAGTGTTTTAATAAAGATGACGCATGTCCATACTGCGCGGCATTTAAAAATCGTTCCGCTTTACATGATAATATGACAATATAAAAGTGAATGTAACATATGACATAGAACGTATGATACGGAAAGGGATAGTAATCTTTAGAATTACAATCTAATTACACCAATTGACGTAATTTGAGTGCATCAGTTACGTTGTGTCATATCCACCTCGTATTTGTATATTATATCACTGCGTTGGAACATTAAAGAACGCTAAATAGCCACGTGTTTTCACGAACCTTATACTCTCAGATTCAGCTCATGTAAATAATCATAAATAAAGGACCGATAAAAAAGATAAAATAAGTTAAAGGACAAAAACTAGTCGTTCTTTAGATTTCTTAACTAAATCACTTTAGAGGTAAACCCGTGAAAGAGTTTCTGTTTTCCGTCACGTGGTTTCTGTTTTTAATCCAAAATTATAATTTTATGATTAAACATGTAACTATTTTGAACTGCAAAATATTTGGCCCGACTCCGGAACACACCTCTATGCCACAATTCATTATATAATCTGACATTAAAATAAAATATGAGACATTTAAAGCGTGTCATATAGGTGATCTGCTGCCAAGCATGTTAGACTTCTGGGTGACAGTGAAAATAGGTTTATGGTGTAGTTATTGGTGCAGGTTCAAATAAATCCTTACTAATATTATAAACGCGAAAGTTTGTATGTATGGATTGATGTTTGTTACTCTACAGGCAAATACTACTAACAGAATGGATTTTAATGAAACTTTATAATTATATAGTTTTTACCTCAGAATAAGACATATTTTATACACATAGGCTATAATTTATGTATATCTCTCTTTCTGTTTGAATGTTACGCCTTCAGCCTATTCTACGCAGACGTAGTCGGGGGCAGCAGCTAGTATCTAATAATCCAAAGACCTTCCCAGTATTTACTGGCAGAATAACATTAAATGCCATTCAACGAAACAAAGTACTACTTTTTACAAATATCATTCTCACAACTTTCAGCCATACACAACCAAGTTATAGAATAAATTACCGCCAGCGGTATTTTAGGGGCCTTTAAGAAGAGAGCCTAGTCCTACCTCAACGCCGATGACGCATTTGTGACTCCTCTGCTGTTGCGTATCCAGGGTAGTGGTGAACACTGACCATCAGTAGAACAGCCCGTTCGTTTGTCTCCGTTTTCAGAAAAAAATTCATCTAATATGCGTTACCTTTAAATACAGTGGATCTTGGCACCTCACTCACCAGACGAAATGCATAAGTATGACATATGATATTGCGCTAAACGGCATCAGTAGCAGAATTTGTCGATTACTGTACATTTTATTGATTCGGTTGAAATATATAAACATTTGAAGTAAATAAATATGTATCACTTTTCATCCAATGTTAACAAATAAAAGGGCTTTGATATATGTTAGATAGACATTGCAATATTACAAACAACATGCAGCATACAATTTAATACAAACTTTTTAAAACAATTTTTATTCCGTACCTAAAGAGTGTCAATACTATACTTTCTTTTATACAATAGATTTATATTTAGCCGTTGCAGAGTCGCTTCTAGACACGTGAGTTTTTATGGCTATACGATATAAACATTTTATAACATGATTTCACGAGTTTTATTATTTAACTAGCTGCTGCCCGCGACTACGTCTGCGTAGAATAGGCTGAAGGCGTAAGATTCAGGCAGAAAGACTGATATACATGAAATATGTATATAAATTATAGCCTATGTGTTATTCTGATGTATAAGCTATATTATTGTAAAGTTTCATTAAAATTCATTCTGTAGTATTTATCTGAAAGAGTAACAAACCATCCATACATACAAACTTTCGCCTTTATAATATTAATAAGGATTTTGAGTTCTATTTTAATCCCAGGAGGACTAAGGTGATTGATGCCACGATGTAACTGTTAGACCGGAGCTACCGCTTACTATCTTTATCCCCTGGTTCATGTTACAAAACATTCCAGCAAACCATAGTAGTTCCATGTAGATTATTCGCGTAAACGGAGATGCTAAGGATACTTACATCGAAGCGTTTGAAATCGCCGCGAGTTCAAAACGATATTCGTCAAACAAAGGGAGACATTTTTATTTAACAACATTAAAATCTACTGTCCATGTGTACAGCTTTATTGCTAACGTTAAATAAAAAAGGTAACAAAGGGCGGACATAGTGTCCAAAATTCTCTACCACTCATCATCATGTGTAGTTCAATAATAATAATCGGATGTTCAACTTTAGCAACCGACGAGAATATCGTTGTTTACTAGGTACATAATTTTGAATGCAACTCAATAATATTTACTAACACAATGCTATCTTTAGGCCCTCCCAACCAGTGGGCGTTGTTTTTAAGTATCTCTCGTGCACAAATAATTTGGGAACGATCCGTCAACACGTCAGGAATATACTGCGAGGGTGAACACAGCATTATTTATACAGATTACGCCGTGTTTCTATATAATATATGATGACTCCGTGGCGCCGTTGCCAAGGTATCGGCTTCGGCGTCGGGGGTCGTGGGTTCGATTCCCACACGGGACAACTGTTTGCGCGACCCACAGACAGTTGTTTCGCATCTGGGTGTTTGTCCTCGTGCAATTTATGTTTGTAAAACGTCCTTACAACACAGGATAATGTTATCGTAAAGTGAGGGCAATGTTTTTTTTTTAAATTAAAAAAAAAATAATTCCTACCTCCGCGGAACTTAGTCAAAGCAAGTGTAAACACAAAAGCCATATACAATGACGTAATCGTGCGATTGCACTCCAAAGTAATGAATGGGCTTTGGTTGTATACTAAATATCTCTTTTATTTTTGGCCCTTCATTCCTAATTTTTGATTAGGACAAAAGAAGAATGGTGAATCAGTCCGTCTGAGGATTGAAGACATCACGACCCGATTGGCGCAGTGGATAGTGAACCAGACGGCTCGGGTTCGATCCCACTACTGCAAAAATTTTATCTGATGGAGGTAGTATTTTTCTAATGTCTGGGTCTGACTATAATTATTATGTATCTATAATAATTATAGTATTTCATTTACAATAGTATTTTAAGCATCCAAAGTACAACCATAGTTTAGTTTGAGACTAGATAACGTTGTGTTAAAAGATTCCTGGTAAAAAAAATATTTAGACTACATACTGCCTTTGTTTTTTTTTCCTTGTGACTCATTCACGGATTCTTACGGAACCTCACGTGCTACGAACTACTGAGTGTGGCTCACATACCAGTCCAATTACTTGATTCTCCCTCATTTTGCAGAAAGTCAACTACATACTTCATTGGTCAATCAATTTGGGTAGCAATGGAGGAAGCGCTAAATCCCCGTAGCAAAATATTGTTTAGTTTTTAAATTATTATACGCAAATTAGTGAAAAGATTTAGTCAACTATGAAAAATTTCATTTATATACTATATAAGATCGTAACTAACCACACTTATAAACAAATAATATACCGCTTTTCCAAAATAGTTATAACATGAAAGAGTTTTCCCTTGAGAGTGTTTTCTTCTTCATAACTGTATTGACATTATAAAAAAATAAAAATACACAATCCATTAAGTTAGTGAAGAATCAGAATAATGTACATATTGCCTGCATTGGTTGTTTATTTTAAAATAAGAAACAATAAATGGACCAAATATTACTTACTAATTTCAAATTTATACGAAAACCGGAAGAGATTCCAATTCCGACTGGAATTTCCAGAGATTGAGGAGAAAAATCAAAAACAGCGATGCAACCGTCCACGCGCGGCGACAAGTTCCGAGATTTTGGGCGGGAACGTGGCCGCAGCCGATCTGTTGTCGAGCTTTGTGGGCGGGGGCCCGATGGAATCTCGCTTAGAGAATGGATGCCAGAAATTATGGATGCGTTCGTGTATTAATCGTATGATGTTGTTTCACGAAATCTAGCAGTTTTCATCATCATCATCATCATATCAGCCGTAGGACGTCCACTGCTGAACATAGGCCTCCCCCATTGACTTCCACTTCGACCGGTCGTTAGCGGCCTGCATCCAACGCGTCCCCGCGATCTTGGCTAGGCCTTCCGTCGTCCGTAGCAGTTTTCATCGATTTCCAATAAATAATTGTGTCAATAGCGACATTTTTCTATCGATTTGAAATTATTTTTCAACCGACTTCAAAATGGAGGAGGTTCTCAATTCGACTGTATTCTTTTTATGTTTGTTACGTCAGAACTTTAGATTGAGAGAACCGATTTTGATGATATTTTTTTTATTTGAAAGCCGGTGCTTCGCATGTGGTCCCATATTAATTTCATTGGTATTGGATCTTGGGCTCCGGAGATACTTAGGGAACACTTGAAAATCAATTATAAAATGAATAGAGAGCGAGATATTTGAAGTCGTTTTTGTTTTTCGCTACTAAAACAATTTTTCAAACCAGAAACTAATAAACATTGATGAGAGTTGAGGTGTCACCCTTGGGGTACCTCCTTTCCAACAAAAAAATAATAATCAAAATTGGTCCATAAACGACGAAGTTATCCGTGAACACACACAAAAAAAATTAAAATATATACGGTCGAATTCAGAAACGTTCTTTTTTGAAGTCGGTTAAAAATAGACTTGTAAAGACCATAAAACGTTGAATAAGATTATAAACATTTATCTTTCCTGACTACATTTATAGTTACTATGTAATGCTTCGTCCACAGGGCTTACTATAGTGCTAAAGTTATGGACTTTGCTTAGTTATGGACTTTGCTATCAAGTTCGTGGAAAATAGGCCCTTCCATGAGCTCTGGGTCAATCAACAATATCGATATATACATATTTTAGACTATATATCGATATTATCAGCCGATATATTTGGATTCGATATATCGATAAATATCAAATTCGAATCCGTCACAAAGTCCGTAGGTGTCAAATATTTAATACTAGCCGCTGCCCGCAACTACGTCTGCGTAGTATAGGCTGAAGGCGTAACAGTCAGGCAGAAAGACAGATATACATAAAATATGTATATAAATTACCTATGTCTTATTCTGATGTAAGCATAAGCTACATTATTGTAAAGTTTCATTAAAATCCATTCAGTAGTATTTGCGTGAAAGAGTAACAAACATCCATCCATACAAACTTTGGCGTTTTTAATATTAGTAAGGACTCGGCATATCTTTTTTCGGACAAAGGTTTCTAGGGCTATATATCGATATATCGATATTTTCTCTTCCATATCTCGAGGCGGATATTGATATTTTTATAAATATCAATACATACGATATATCGATATATTTCTTCAGTTTCGACATCCTTAGCCCGATGAAACCTTATATAGTATACAGACTGAAAGCGCAAACAACATTGAAATGCGTTTTTGTATAGCGCTTGTCTTTTGAGTTACTATACAGCGTGTCGTTACCATCGCGACAATAAATGAACACACATATAGGGGATATCTTTTTAAAGTTGTATTAAACATTTAAATTCTTTAAACATCAATATTTACAGAGTTATTAAATTTTTAAAAACAATGAATTTTAGAACACCCTTACCTATAAAAGCGTAACGTAAAGTTAATTTGTAAAGGTCACAAAGCATATGAATGGGTTGAATGAATTTAAAAGAGACAAAACATACTGTTAGAAGGAGAGGCTTGTAATGCGACGCTATGGCGCGAGTTGTATAGGATGTTACAAATTTTGTTTCTTTTTTACTTAATTACTTTGTTTGAAAAATATTTTTTTTTTTAATTATGGATTTTGTTTAACGTTAACATTTTTTTATGATTATTGGCAAGTAGCGTTAGACGTGTGTTCATTTATTGTCGCGATGGTAACGACACGCTGTATATTCGATTATGGCTCGTCGTGATCTGTCCTACAGGATGCATATGGCTTCACGGCTCTACGATTTCAGCCATATTAAACGGAGACAGTTTTGGAAGAGCTATCAATTCACATTGATTGTGGCTTTGTAAACAGCAATATCGAATAGCCGTCTCTGCTCAAACACCTTTATTCCATGCAATTCAATATGCACATCGTTCGTAGATCCGTGTAACGGGCATTCCGCCAAACGACTCCAAAGAGAACGGTGTAAACATTATCCCGATCCTTCTGGACACTGCGTCGTAAATAAAACGAAATAAACAATATACAACAGTACATAGTACTTATGTATGTATGTAAATAATAGACTAGAAGCAAGGTTGCGTTTGCGATTCGGAAGTGGTTTATCGCTCAACCCTCGGGCTGACTAGCTTATCGCCGATTTTATAGATGAATTTACGTTGGTAGAGCCACGCAGCAGCCTCAGCTGTTGCACAAATGGGCAGGCTCGTTCGGGGTAAGTACCACGACCTCACAGAAGACCGGCGTAAAGTGGAAGTATACTTTCGCGTTTCGTCTGATCAGTGAGGTAGCCGGAGCTCAATTTCCAAAAAGGTTGTAACGCATCTGCAAACCTTCGGGTGTAGCAGATGTTCATGGGCGGCGGTATTCACTTAACATCAGGTTATCCGTCTGCTCGTTTGGCAACTTTTCACATAAAGAGAAAAAAATTATAATCTAATTACACAACACATCAAAATTAACAATTTCAGTGGTGCCGGCACCGGGGATCGAACTCAGGTTGCACGAGTGTATTTAATTAAAGGAGAACGGCCGGATACTGAGCTATCACGGCTCTACAGCAACAACGCCACCGAATCGATTAAAAACATTTAATTAACTTTTATTGAGAAAAAACTAAAACAATGTGTTGTGAAAACATTCTGTATGATAAGAGGTCTACAAATATGAAACTTTTCACAAACCGCTCATTATTAAAATAGGTACTGAACCGTTAATATTACTTTTATCGTTTTGATACATCAGAGAACGATTTGCATCAGAACTTATTGTGACGTCAGACTTAGAGAGATCCAGAAGATATGTAATACTAATAAATTGATAAAAAGCGAGAAAACCCTCCGTGTAGTCCCTTGTACAGTAAATTTTTAAAATAATTAAGATATATCCAACGCTATTAAGTGAACTATTTTAAGTAAAAGAATTAAGTAAAAAAATCGCACGCGGAACAAGAAGCGTTGGTTAAGCACTGAAGGCATTTTGTAGTCTGGTATCAAGATGAATTGATAATTGGTGGTGCAGTTGCTAAGCCATTGGCATCGGCTTTGGGAGTCATTGTTTCAATTCCCACAAGGTACAAGTATTTATGTGACCCACAGGAAATTGTTCTGGATTCTGTCTTTCTTCTTCAGGTGGGCTGACGTCAAGGCCCTGCCTGAAACTTGGCCCAGGCGCCATATAATGTATATAATGAAATAAACGGCTTAGCAACTGCAACCACAGAGTCATTTCAATTTCATGGACGTCTTAATTACCTGCCCTGTGGTACAATGAAGACAGCATACTTGTTCATAGAATGAGATCGCTTCTGGTCGACAACATACAAAGTATAGCGGGGCGTCTCCTCACCGGGCTGTATCAGATCCAATGAAACCTGGATACAAATATTATAATGATGTATCAATATACAAATTTTTTTGATTAGAAAAGGAGGAAAGCAAACAGGCAGGCACTGATGGTAAGTGTTCGCTGCCACCCATAGACACTTCCAACAAAAGAGGAGTAACAAATCTATTTGTTGTCCCTTTGAAGCAGAAAAAGGCTCTAATCTTGAAGGCCCCTAACTTGTATCTTTGCATATGCCTATAAATATGAAATATGATTTACCAAAGGACCCATATATAAAACAAAGGATTAACTTATATAATCTTGACATAAGGTTTTTGTATAAATACATCTTTTATGAAAAATTATACATTATGTAAAGTGCTTGTGGAGCATACACCAAAAAATATATAATTGAAACTACTTCTTAGAGGGATAATTGAATAATGTTTTCATGACTTTATCTATTTATCACTACAAATTTGGTTAATTTAATTCTTTTCACTTAAGTAGTAAAGAACTTTAACTGAATATTTTTATTTTTATTTGAAAAGAAATGTCACACAATCTTAAGACAGTACTTACTTCATCATTATCATCCAAATTTGTCTTAGCAAGGCCATTGGTAATAAATGCGGTGTCCTGAATCGATTTCACACAATCCTGGAGTTCTTGTGGTGCATTAAGCCTGATCATTTTGTCCCCAGCCATACATACTTCTAAAATCTGAAATAGATTCAAATAGAAGATTTTTTAATTCAAATATATAAACTGGATTGTGAAAACACTAAAATCTGATCTTCTCATCTTCTCATTAAAAAGAAACATTTTTGGATAGACCAGCAGTTTTTCGAATCTTGACATTGATCTGTTGATGTAATAACAATGAGAAATTATTAGTGAACAGTTCTTTTAGTATACAGAGTAAAATTTCAAGTTTCTCACCAACTTAGGCATTTCTTTGAACTTGGTAGCAATTACAATAAATACGGGCAATGAGTTTCCATCACCATTTTCAAAATTCTTCTCTTCAGCTTCATAACATCTAATAACACGAAACATCCAAGATCTTACAGAAAATTCCTTAAGTAGTTTATTTAAAATATGTTTTTGTAGTAATGATATACAAAAGTATCGGCCACCAAATTTTAATACTCTCTTGATTTCAGCAAAATATTTGTCTATCCTTTCAATGGTTTCGTCTGTGTCATCTGGCATTAATGCATCTAAGGTTCCTTTATCCAATACAACATTGAATTCATCATTAGGAAATGTCATGTTCAATGCGTCCATACATATAAACTTCATGTTGGTCCTCGCGGTGTTTGCAGATTTCATCTGCTTAATGACGACCTCTGACACATCTATATTGGTTATATTTAAGTATCCCACATCATAAAGGTCGGCACTGAGGTTTGAGTTTCCGCACCCTGTGATAAGGATTGCATCCTTCTGTTTTATATATTTGTGTAAATTACCGCAAAGTTCTAAATATTCACCGTACCTTGGAAATTAATAAAATATATTTTAAATTAACATCTGACGTGCAAAAAACATAACATTTCAACAATGTTTCAACGTACCATTCAAACGCTCTATTACCACGTTTTTTAAAAAATTTGTTCCAGTAGTCCTTTTCGCTGAATTCTTTATGACTCTTTGGTAAAAGATTCATCTTTTATATTTAATAAAATATAACTTATTTACAAACACATGGCATGTCAAAACATAAGTAAGTATTTTGTCAATCTCAATTCACATGTCAAGATGTCAGTGGCCTGTGGAGGGAGTGCAGCTGGCTGGCAGTCAATGACAATGTCAATTTGTCAAAAAACTAGCTCTATTAACTCTATTTATCAGATATATAAAATTTCGGATATATAAAAGTACTCATTGTGACCTACTTTCTAGCTGGTACTGTTATTGTTAGTCCAAGAGCTTTGACGGATTCGTCAGAGGGGATTCACCTATTAGGGTGCTTCTTAGCGATAAGACGCTTCCCTTTTTTTCAATAAAATTGACTTGAAATGATGTCCGACTCAACCTGCAAATTGATTTTTCTCCACTTAACGTCTAATAATCACGGATAACCAAATCAGGCTACTTTTGATTGCAACTTGAGCTAGATTCGTGACTCGACTTTAACAACTGATTACGTTTTAACAACAAATAACTAATTAAGGAAAAAAATATATACATTTGTAGAAAAAAATATCGATTTATCGACTTTTTAATACAGGTACTTTTGTTATAGGTAATAAGTATACTGTATACGTATAGTCTTCTTCTTCTTCTTTTTATTGATGGCTTGCTTTGTGAGTTATCACAATTACGCCAATGTCAAGTTGTTCTTAAAATTCTCAATTTTATAATATTCACATTAAAATTGTAATAGGCAAATAAAAACTTCAAAAATCTCTCGATATCTACGTATAGTCTATAATAATTGTGTCATTGTGTGACATGCTGAATGCAGGTGTGATGTCTTGTCTGCACTCTGCAGTGTGTGTGAGACAGTAATCAGGTCTGCCAACTTAGAGGCTTTCCCGCAAATTTAAGGGGTAAACAAACGCATTGGTATTTTTTGTGGGCGTTATTTTTTGCTGCGTTTCATTTCTTTTCATTTTTTAAGAAAAATAAAACACCTGGAGTAATGAAATCTACCCATATTATATATTTATTTGTTGATCTAGTGGCCTAGCGACATGTACTATGGTTTTTCATTACTAAGAATGTGGAGTTGAACTATGAAGAGTAAAGATAAAGTGTCCGTCAAAATGCATTCAATAGCGGTAGCGTAGGATAAATTTTAAACAATTTTTTTTTATTTTTATTTTATGCGAAAAGTAGTCAAACGGGCAGACGGTTCACCTCATGTTAAGTGAATACCGCCGCCCATGGACATCTGCCACACCCGAGGGTTACAGATGCGTTGACAACCTTTTGAAAATTGGGCTCCGGCTACCTCACTCACCAGACGAAACGCGAAAGGATTTGTCATACTTCCACTTTACGCTGGTCTTCTGTGAGGTTGTGGTACTTACCCGGACGGGCTTGCCCATTCGTGCAACAGCCGAGGCAGCTGCGTGGCCCTACCACCGTTAAAACAAACAAAGCGCCAAAAGTAATAATTATTTTATTATTCAATATGAATCACTTTTTTGGAATTACGATAAAAATATTAGTAGAGAGAATTATTTTTTAATTAAATTATCTTCAATTTTTATTTAAACTTTTTATAACAACAACATTATCGCTGAAATACTTCTTCACTGTGTTATTTCATTCATGTGGAAATTAAGGCAAAAATCTTTGCGCTATTTATTGTTTATAATTTTTTAATTATATTTATTATATCAGGAGGAGTTGTGAGGGGGTCAACATATTTTAAAAAACTTTTTCGACTTTTCAGCCTTTGCGGTGGGAGCTCATGGCCATGTAGGGGGATGCGCAAAATGCCGCTTATCTTCGTCGGCCTTAGTCCTCTTTAGCGAGGTTGCTACGGCTCTGCGTACAACTTGCGGCGCTATGCCAGCCAGTGGATACAGCAACTTCACCGGGGTTGGCTTCAAGCATCCAGTTATTATACGGCACGTTTCATTTAAGGCTGTATTCACGAGCTTAGCATGAGCCGAGCGGCCCCATACGGGGCACGCGAATTCGCCGGCAGAAAAAACTAGCGCTAGACTGCATCACATGTGGCGTAGCTCCTCACTCAGTACGTACTAGACGCTGTAGCAGGTTGTTGCGATATTGCTTAAAAGTCGAAAAAGTTTTTTAAAATATGTCGACCCATGTGGCGTGCTCAAACTCTACTTCCGGATCTTTGTCCCGCTTTCTGAGAGTCTTCCGGCTGGTCATGGACTACCTCGGCCAACCTGGAAGTCTTTAAATAGAGTTTGGACTCAGTTTGGCCGAAGCAAGGAAAATATGTTCAGGTGGGGACTCTCAAAAAACTCAGACCTGGACAGCCTGAATTGTGTGGAGCAGTGCAGTCCATGGCCCATCTGATGTCCTGTCCTGCCTGCCCTTTCACCTTTTCGCAGCAGGATCTGATGGATGCCACAAATTGTGCTGTCGAAGTGGCTAAGTTCTGGGCTGGAAAGATATGATTTGTCATAGACACGTGAAGAAGAAGATCAGGAGGGGTTTTTAACTTAAACTTTAGGGAAACATATTTTAGAGAGTTGGTAACACTAGCTGTGAGTGAATTGTGATTGTAATTTCGTAAAAAATTGTGTCACGCTTGATTTTGTGTTTATTTACTTATTTGTTTTATATTTTTGTGCATCTTCCTGTTTTTCATGTGTAATAAAATGTTTTACTCTCCAAGTAGTTGCAAAACCCTAGTGGTTTTTGCGTGATAATGGTTAGCAGAGATTATACTGAACTAAAATCGTGGATTCAACACCTTTACCACAATTCGTTGTTAAAAAAGCTAATGATAAATAATGGAAAGCCACAAAAAAGACAAGTGGGAAGCTCTTACGACGGTAAAATCATTTGATTTAGGTATGTATAAAATTAGCTATCCTTGCTATCAGTTTGCATATGGTAATGTTGCTTAATAACAAACATGCGTTATATAATATTTGTTATTAATATGAATAATTGAAGAAATATACGAGACGGGGATTTTGTTATGTGTTAGTCATATAATTTTTTATTATTAAATTTGCATACATGTACAAAAAAATAGTAAAGTACTTTACATTATGACAACCATTATCATTGGGAATTTTCCATGATCGTCATACATAGAATCATTAAACAATTATAAGCTATAATTTTTGTGAATGTGTTTAATACAAAGCTTAATGTGTATAAATGAGAACACAAAATATAATAATTTGTGGCTTTTTCCAGGTATAGCTCGCAACAGCCATCACGAAGCCATATTCAGTCATGGCATCCAACAGGTAGACATTGTCAACAGTACAGCAACAACACCCATTAGTCTGTTAGTTCAATCTCTTGTCAAACAACTATGTTCATTGCTTGAAAAAGATTTTGCCAGAGCAAACCAACTTTACAACACGATATGTGAAAAGCTTCATAGCATGAACTTAATAGACGACTCCTATGCAATGGGAGAATTTGAAGTAATGAGAAGTCAGTATCAAAGGGCTTTGTATCAATTAGTCACGGTTGCTACTGGATCAGAAATACCCATCAATCTGCCAGCATCTTGGCCTATAGTTCAGCCATCGGGTTTAGAATGGTCCAGGTACCATAAAGAGTTTGAAGAAATATGTTTCATTGCTGGTGGGGGTTTTGGAAGTGTATTTAAAGCCTTGCACAGACTGGATGGTGTAGAATATGCTATAAAAAAAGTTTATATTAAGTCATCTAATGTCAATTCAATTATGACACATCTGGCAGAAGTAAAAACAATAGCAAGTCTTAACCATCCTAATATAGTGAATTACAAAGCTGCCTGGTTGGAGCCGATGATAGAATCAACCCTTAAAAAGAAACGTAAATTGCCCTTAGATGATAGTGACGAATTCTTAACAATAAGTTCAGACATTATGTCATCTGTACATCCTAACATAGTGAAATCTTTCAAAACTCATGACTCTAAAGAACTGACAAGGAACCATAGTCAGTCTGATTTTGTCATCTCTTTTAAGAATTCTAACAGTTTTGAATGTGGTGATACATCTAATGAAGATTTTGACAGTGAAAGTGATGAAGAATCTACATTACCTGATGATCAGAATGCTGTTTGTAAGATCTTGTCTAGTAAAGAATATGAAAATTGCTCTAGGGTTAATTTGAAATGGGCGACCTTGTACATTCAAATGACATATTGTCAGCAAACACTGAAACAATGGTTGGACAATCGCAATAGCCATATGCCATTGTCCAGAAAAAACTCTGAGGATTTAACACTGCAACATAGTGACTCCAGTGACTCTGCAGGTTTTGGTAGTTCATTTGTATCTGAATGCAACTACCCAGCTACCTGGAGTCACATTGATGTCATCATAGATATGTTCACTCAGCTGGTTAGGGGACTGCATTATATCCATTCACGAGGAGTTATTCACCATGATATAAAGCCAAGTAATGTGTTTGTTGGACAAAGTGAAACTGGCTTGCTGGTGCAGCTTGGGGACTTTGGCCTTGCATGCCCACTTCAGCAGTCACACAGCGGATTGGCACTTGGTACACACTTATATGCTGCTCCTGAACAGTTGGATGGACAGTGTAATCCAAAGGTATGTCCGTATTCACCTTGTTTTTAATCTTGTTTGCCAATGGACATCTTCTACATTAGCTTGTAGTTGCTATGACATCTTTTAAATGTCCCTGGTCACTTGACTAACGAAACAAATAGCAAAAGTATAATACTTCCACTGCAAGCCTGTCCTGTGTAAGCTGTGGGATTTCCATGGACATGCCTGTCAATACGGGCAACAGCAAAGATTACTGCTCATTTTTTGGTTTTCATAGTGTATTTTTTTAATTCCTATTTTTTTAAACTTAAAAACCATTTTTCCTATAGAAATGTATGTGATATTCTTGGTAATTATTTATTATTGATTTACACTCTTCTTATTTATCAACAATTGTAGATAAAAAAAATATCTCTGAGGAGGCTCAACCAGATAGAAAGGTTTATGTAATTATTATCATAGTGGTAGCAAAACTTGCATTATAGTGTTTGAGTTACTAATGTAAAAATATTATGTGATTAGCATCATTTCTTACAATATAATCATGTCATATAATGAGTATGTCATTAGAAAACAATATATATGAAGATCAATTTCAATATGAAAGGGTGATAGTATGACATTGAATGAATTTTGTATCTTGTATTAAATGATGTTTTTGCTTTCAGTCCCGAGACTATTAAAGCTTCATCTGACGCAGAACCGGGTTTGGGCTCTCCACTGTGGGTAGGGCCATGCGTGCGTTTAACTATGGTGTGTCATCTAAGGGCCATCGAAGTCGCGGTTCGGACCGAAACCCTGATGGCCGTCGACTGTGCAATTAGCTAATCGCTGGCTGGGAGCGGTGAGAACCGCCCCGGAACGCGGTTGTACCTTGTGTAGGCGTTGTATTGGTCTCGCCGTGCGCGAACTAGTCTTCTTACTTTTTTTTCTTAATAACTGATGTTTTTGCTTTCAGTCCCGAGACTATTAAAGCTTCATCTGACCCAGAACCGGTGGGCTAGCCCGAACCCACGGGCTTGGGCCCTCCGCTTTGGGTAGGGCCACGCATGTGCTCATGCGTGCGTTTAACTATGGTGTGTCATCTAAGGGCCATCGAGGTCGTGGTTCGGACCGAAACCCCGATGGCCGTCGACTGCGCAATTAGCTAATCGGTGGCTGGGGGCGGTGAGAACCGCCCTGGAACGCGGGTGTACCTTGTGTACGCGTTGTGTTGGTCTCGCCGTGCTCGGAGGCGAGGGCGAACTAGTGTGTTTGTTGTTGCACTAACTGTGGGTGTAGTGTTATCCGTCGGGACCCCCGGCGGTGGGTCCGACGTATCTAAGTCAACATTGAATGAAGTAGCAGGAGATACTATCTGCGTCAGATGAAGCTTTAATAGTCTTGGGACTGAAAGCAAAAACATCAGTTTATACAAGAAGAGATATGAAAGGGTATTTGTCAGTAGACATAATTATGGACACAGAAAAGATCACTTCATATCCCATAGAGGTTTTAAATTCACATAAACTCCAATTAAAATTAGGCGTCTCATTAGTGCATAAACGAAATTTAGATGCCCTTCGATTATGTAAGTGAACGAGACTTCGTGTCATACAACTTAGGAGAAACATAATTAGTGTCACCATCATAACCGGCATAGGAAACAGTGAATATGTAATGATACCAAAATCCCTATAATTCCTTTAAATCTTCCATTCAAAAGACTGCTATTTCTTAGTAAGCTTTGTTCTGCTATGGCAATTAACAAAGTGTAAGGGCAAACATTACAGTAAGCGGGGGTCAATTTAGAAAAACCATTCTTTCCCTGTGGTCAATTGTATGTAGCATGTTTGTGTGTGTCCAATGGCCAGAATCGTGGAAAAGATAGCATTTTGTCTTGCAAATATAAGCATTCATCTTTGTGCTCGTGAAAATCAGCTATTATTTTTTGAGTGGGTACAACTAAATATTTTACATTAATTCACTCAGATATAAAACCTACACATTTATATTATGTTTTATTTACTTCAGATGTCTCTAACGCTGCCACACCCTGATATCAGTAGTTTTCAATGTTTTTTAGCATGTAGTAATCCAGACAAGTATATATGTCTTACCCTCCATGATTGACATTTTCTTATTATTTTTTAGCTTTTTATTCTGTTATAATTTATATATTAAATTGGGTATTGAATATTTTTTAGTTCTAATTAATTTTAATTATTTATTTCCAGAGTGACATGTACAGTCTTGGCATAATACTCTTGGAGATGGTTGAGAGATTCAGCACTGAAATGGAACGAGTTAAAACCATTACAGACTTAAGGAAGGGTCAGATACCAGCCCGTTTGACTGCTAATTTTCCTAAAATAGCTCACATTATTGGTAAACTGGTGCAATGGAGACCTACAAAGAGGTTGGATACAAAACAGCTTTTGGATGAGCTAAAATACCTTTCAGAGGATAAAGATGACACCATCAGATCATTGAAAGAAGAATTGGCCGCGAAAGACGACGAAATTGCGAAATTAAAAATGATGTTAGCTAAATACAACCCAGGTATTCAAAGAGATGTTTGAATAATCCAAAGTGGAAAATGGAAGTGTTCACATTTTACTAATATATTAAATTAAACTACTCACTATTCTTACACATATTCGAAATATTTTATTTTTTTGTATTTTATTCAGTGTACTTTTAGCCACCTTTCAACTATAATTTAACAATTTTATCACTAATTATTTGAAAATAATTGGTAAATTAAGCATACAGAAGTTATTAATAGATTTATTGATAGTCACAACTATTATGTACTTAGCTACTTTTTTAAATTTCATGTTATTAATCGCCTTATTTGGCGAATAAGTTAATATACAATCTCGAATTCCTAATTCTTGACTTGAATATTAATATAAATTATCACCATGATTATCTCTTAGGCTTGGATTGGACTGTTTATTTCCTTTTGACATTTTTGCATTTCAGAATGATGATATGTGATATGTTTGAGCAACTCATGTAACAAATGTGTTGAACAGTATTTATGGAGTTTCCAAATGTGTTTGTGTGTATTTAAGAAAATTAAACTATAAACCATAATATAAGGTTGTTTTATTTGAACAAATTAATAAAAAACTAGTATGTCAATAACTTTATTTACAGAAAATTAATTATAAAAACGCAGTATAAATTATTACCTAAGTCTAATTTTATATTTACAGTCTTAAAATATTTCTCATTGTTAAAAATTTTCGATGTACAGGCAGCTGGTAAAGTCACTAGAGTAAAGAGTTGTTCCCAAGATGTCGTAGTCCAAGCTTCACTGAAGCCAATTTGGCGGATAATTATTGTGACACGGGCGCTCTTCTCACAATATGTTGTCGATCGCATGGATTACCCCGTTAGTTGCCGGGATGTTATGCGTGACGACTTGGGCGTTATTAACTTTAATACGACCTGCAAAATAATTCATATTTAATTATTATTAGTATCAGCCTATACATGTCCCACAGCTGGGCAAAGGGCTCCTATGTACAGAGGGTATCAGGGCATAGACATATCCACCACGCGTCCCTACTGTAGATTGGCGGATTTCACATATCTTCGAAATATTTTTTTTGTTATTACTTTAAAAATATGCATATTTCCTCACGATGTTTTCCTTCACCGTTGAGCACGTGATAATTCGGCACTTAAAATTAACAATTTCATTGTTGTCGGCACCGGGGATCGAACTCAGGTTGCTCGATTATATTGAATTAAACGCGAGCGCCCGGACATTGAGCTATCACGGCTCATGTTATTAAAAAAATATTATTAAAGATGGAGCATTTACGGCCGCCTGCATGGATGAAGTTCAATCTTCCAGGGTTAGTTATTAAAACAGATGTTGAAGAAAAAAGTTGTACTCTTTATGGAGCTGCCTAGTGTGACTGTTATTGCAAGTGCAAACAATTATGTATAGGACACGGGTGTGTTTATAAACAGTTACTAAACTTAACAAAATTTAGAGAACGATTTATTCGGTAGTATGAATTAATAATTTATTACAGTTCAACATTAACAGAACGAAATTTAATTAATGTCTTTCTAATGTTTTATGTTTCCATTTATTAATATACCTACTGTAGTCGCTTATTTTATTACATTGCTTTTATTTTGATTAATAATAAAGGAAGCCTTTGACCAAAATGCGGATGCGGACAGATTGCTATATCAAGTCGGTTTGTGTTTTGTGTGCTGAATGTGCCTTGCATTCAAATTAAAAGTTCAAATCTTACATATGTAGGCATTTAAACGAGTAATGTTGTGTATTACTTGACTGAATGGCTGTAACGGTTTGGAAAAATTATATTAAAATTTATTTTGTTCAAATTTTTAAGTTTATGTTTAGGCGTTTTTTGTAAAAAAAAAACAATTTTAAGCGTCAAACGAAGTTAACTACTGAGATAAATCTAATATAATATCGTAAAAATTTTTGTCAGAACTTTATCTTTACAAATAAATAAAATTGCAGTGTCTGTTTGTAATTTTAAAATAACCGCTTTTTACTAAATGGATGTATACACGGTACATACACCAAAGTAACATTTTTACAATTTCTGTCTGTCTGTTTGTTCTGGCTTATCTCTGAAAAGGCTGGGGCTTTCACGGGCAGGTAGCGGAAATTTTATTTATTTTAAATTCCATGCCGACAAAGTCGCGGTCACAGCTAGTATTAACTGTGGTAGGGCCACGCAACAGTGTTCGCTGTTGCACGAATGGGCAGGTCCGTCCGGGTTAGTACCACGACCTCACAGAAGTCCGGCGTAAAGTAGAAGTGTTACGCTTCTGAGTTTTGTCTTGTGAGTGAGGTAGCCGGGGCCCACTTTATTAAAAGGTGGCAACGCATCTGCAACCCTACGGGTGTTGCAAATGTCCATGGGCGGCGGTTATCACTAAACAGGTGAACCGCCCGCTCGTTTGCCACTTTGTCCCATAAAAAAATACATTAGCTCACCGGAGTTCTTTTGGAGGGTGAGCGGCTTAGCGTCCTCCATGGAGTTGCGCAGCTGGTAGTACCGCATGCCCGCGCTGTAGAGCGTCCCCGGCAGGACGTGCCTGGCGACCAGCGCGCGGGCAGCCGCCTTCTCGGAGTAGCGCGACAGCTCAGCTGGCGGGAGGCGCGCGAACGCAGCGTCCGTTGGCGCGAAAACGGTGTACGTCTTGCTCTCTGGATTTTTGAGGTTAGACTTCTGTCATTTACTCAATTTATTATCATTACTTTATTAGAAGTGTATGATGGCGTATGGTACAATAGCGTTCAAAATACTGTCATATTTTTTTTTTAATTAACATAAATCGTTATGTCTTTATTGATATGAGATATGATAAATGACATCACCGAGTTAAAATTATATATATACAAAATAGGACGAAATGTTTTTCGCTGCTGCGGGAATTTAACCCACGTCTTTCGGATTCGCGCCCTGATCCTTTAACCACTAAGCTAACTGATAAACTGATAACGGCCGATTGCCATTCCGGAAATCTCAAAGTCTTTTATGTAAATTGTTTTTTTTTTCCGCATCTCTATTATCTAACAATGCTTGTTAGAGAATAGAGATCCCAATAGCCAAGCATCTATTCTTATATATATAATAATACAAACAATTTCGAATATCGTTTTATTAACGAGAGGTGTTATTTGAAACACAAATTTTTACAGTGCTAGTCTCTGCACTAAAGATGTAATAATATTAAAAGTTGTATAAAAAAGGACTGAAAGTTTCTCGCAGCTGCGGGTGTCGAATCCACGTGATCCGGATTCGCGCCCAATCGCTTTAACCAATAAGCTAAACGGCTGAGTGTCCGAGTACTAAAACACTTGGAAGTTTTGTTTTCATATTGGTCTTGGCCTCGACTTAATAAAAAAAACTACTCAATTCGATTCATAAAGGTCTAGATTTCTGATTCTTGGAATTACCATCACGAAGTCTTTTGCCTGTCGTACCTGACAGTGTATCCGCGAAACCGCTAGCCTGCAAGGCTTTGACGAAGGTGGTGAAGCGTCGATCTCTGTCCGCTTGTAAAGTCTGGACTAGGTCCCCGACTGGCAGCGGGAACATCACTCTATCAACTGCGTGCGCTATGCCCTGAAAATGCGACAGATTTTAATTTAAATAAGAACTAATTTTTACTTATTATGTAATAGGAAATTAGATACTTATTAACAACTTAAAGGCGGGGCGGGCTAGGCAAGTAAGGTCTTCCTTTTAGTTCAAGAAAATAACATTTTTTAATGTAAATTCTGATCATTAAGAAGATTCTTGACCACCCACAGCCACCGATTAGCTAATGGCACAGTCGACGGCCAGTCAGGGTTTCGGTCCGAACCGCGACCTCGATGGCCCTTAGATGACACACCATAGTTAAACGCACGCATGAGCACATGCGTGGCCCTACCCACAGCGGAGGGCCCAAGCCCGTGGGTTTGGGCTAGCCCACCGGTTCTAGGTCAGATGAAGCTTTAATAGTCTCGGGACTGAAAGCAAAAACATCAGTTAATACAAGATACAAGAAGAAGATTCTGATCAATTCAGAGAGTTTAACCATCCTTTGGCAACTCAAAAGACATTTTGTAGAGCGATTTGACAGCTGATTAGTTAATTTCTACGATGAGCAGTGTTTCTGAAACCGGGCGTTAATAAGTAACTAGTTAAAAGTAGCATTTGATTCTGATGAGTTTTGTGAAGTACTACGGCGTCACAGAAGACGTGAAGTGAAAGTACAATAATTTCGCGTTTCGTCTGGTGAGTTAGGTAACCGGGGTACACATATTACGTTTAAGTACCTATAGATTAATATTTTGGCCCTAAAGGAGAGCTTCTGTATTACTATTTTGAAGTTTTATGAAAAAAATATAATTTTTATGGGAAAGTTTTACGTCTAAATAATACAATTTCATTGTTATACCTGTTTCAATAAAATTGGAATCCATTGAATTGCCGCCGTGCTTGATCTACTAGTCGAAGGTACATTATGCCTATGCCTGCATTACCTGAGGTATGTGGATGTCCTTCTTGTCCTCTAAGACCCTGGCGCCGTTGATCGTCGTCACCCGCACCTCGTTCCACTCGACGTCGTGCATGTCGTATTGATTCACCCGCAACTGTGTGCCGGCCAGCGACACGCCCGTCATCTCGTCCTGCAGTGACGCGATGTCGAACGCACCAGGGATCACGTGGTGCAGAAGGAGCTGTAACACAAATAGCAGAATGGAACAATTCAAGATTTTTCACTATGTTTTATGGGGATGACATTTTTTGTGAAGCAGAAAGTTGCCAAGCAAGCAGGCCCATAGATATCTGCTGCGCCCGAAGGTTGCAGATGCGTTGACAACCTTTTGGAAATTGGGCTCCGGCGAAAGTATTGTACTTCCACATCACGGCGGTCTTCTGTGACGTCCCAGACGAGCCTGCCCATTCGTGCAACAGCCGAGGTTGCTGCGAGGCCCTACCATAGTAATAATACATTCGCATATAATACATATTAAATTACATTATTACTTACCCCACTTAACAATCTTGGATTATCTCTGAATTTCTCCTCGGCTCTGTCCGGTCCGCCGAGCTGCACTAGTAGAGTTCTAAACGCTTTGTCAGTGGGGGCGAAAATCGTATACGGCCCGGTCTCGTTCAGAATCGTGTCCAGTCCAGACTGTCTCAGATATTTCGCCGTTGCGAAGAGTCCGTTCTCCTTGAGGATGTCCACGAGACCTGGATTCTCAGTGAGGAGTGACGGGAACGACTTTGGTTCCTCGACGGCTGGCGATGCGGTGCTGCTTCCTATGATAACCAAGGATTCTGTGGTCGTACGGTAAGCTGGAGTGCTGTTTATAATTGTCGTGCTTGGGAACGAGGCTCTTGGCGTGAGGTCTTGGCTGTTTCTGTTTATTATGTAACGGGGCGTCGATGACTTGACGTATCTCTCCGTAGTAGTTCGCGGTGGCAATGGGGTATAAGTCTGAGTTTGCGACCGCGCTGGCAACGGAGAATATGTCTGAGACTCCTGTTGTGTCGTCCTAGCAGGCGGTTCGGTGTTCCGGTAAGTGATCGTCGTTTGAGTCGTGTAGTCTTCGGGATTGGTGTTCCCCGATGCTCCATAGTTGGATGTAGTTACGAAGCTGCTGTAACTTGACGGGTTATGCGACGGTGCCGCTTCGTACTCAGTGGTGGTGATGGATGGGGCCGGGGCGGCTGTTGTAGAAGTGAATGCGGCGTTGGAGATTTTCGTGGGGCCTGGTAATTGTATTTCGCCTTTCTTTATTTTGTTGATGATATTCTCCACCTCGGGACCCTCCTCAGTTTGTTGACCATTTGCCTTAACTCCTTTGACCTTGAAGGTGCCATCATCCTGCTCTTCAAGGAAAACAAAAGTCACCTTCTTTTTGCCTTGAATAGAATTTGGCAAGCTGGGAACCTCCTCGAGTTTTCCGTTATCAGATTGCTTAATGAGTTCGTAATTAGCTCCAGGAGGCAATACATCCTTAGTTAGATCTTCGAATGATATCGGGTTGGCGGGTTTACTTTCTGGGGTTTCGGTTGCAATTTTGGCAAGATTCGTACTATCGGCTGTGATTGCACCCTTGGGTATTAAATTTGGATTAGAAGTCCTAATCACTTCAAATTTCTGTCCATTAAACGATATCTCTCGCGAGGAAAAGTTTTTTTCGTTGAAATCTTCTGGATTTTCAGCTAAAGCTACTTTCAGCTGCTTCAAAATGTCTGGTTTTTGTAGTAGCTCAACGCTTTTTGCCCTTAGATTGTCGTCGAAGCCCTTGGTCTCACTTTCTTCTAGTAGATTCTTTATTTCGTTGTATAGCTTCTGCTTATTTCTGTCCTGTGGGGGGCTTCTTGGTCTGGAGGTCGGCCTGGCTCTGTATCTTGGAGCTGGCGGGCGGGAAGTCGTGGTGGTGGTTGTGGTTGTAGTTGTTGAAGTGGTGGTTGTAGGGTGCTCCCTTTCGTATAATTCTAGGGCCTTTCTGAACAAATCGGTCTCGTGCGGCAAAAGCGGTCTATGTCTTTCTTGGTTTTGATAATAGTTGTCATAGCTTTCGGTTGTGGCGAGCGTTGGGACAGTCTTTGTTGCCTGTTTAGCGAGAAACTCTTCATGCAGCTTTTCCACCTTCTGTTGCTCCTTTTGCTGTTGCTTCTCGACAAATTCTTGATGTTTTTGAATAATTCTTTGTCTTTCTTGCAACTCTTGAAGTTTCTCTAAGTTTTCTTTCGACTGTTGCTCGTAGTAGTTTTGTATTTGAGAGGATTGGCTATTGGAAAATATTGGCCCTTGATTCAACTGAGTTTGAAATGGAACCTGTCCATTTTCTTGGTTAAAGCTTTGAGGGGCGAGGTTTGGAGCTGGGTGAATCGAAATTGGACTCGGCTGGCCGAAAATAGGTTGGTTTTGGGACGATATAGTCGGCAGGAAAGCGGCCTGAGTCTGCCTTTGTTGTCCACTGCTAGCGCCATTGCCTTGAGCATTTGGGTTAAATACCTGGGCGTTCTGCGCTAAAGGCAGAACATTCTGGAACGACTGAAGTGTAGGTGCAGACTGAGGGAGAATGTTTTGGTTTTGTTGCGGAATCTGTCTCAGATTCTGCTGCTGGTAGCTATTCAAAACCGTTGGGTCGATGCTACGCGTTTGACTGAATTGTAGGCCATGGTTGTTTGTGGTAGGTATGTTGCTTGGTATGTTTTGAATGGGTAGATTATTTGGAATGCTTTGCGTGGGCACGATATTGCCGAACTGAGGGACGTATTGGTGCGAGTGTTGTGGATGTTGCGGTGCCTGTTGCTGGGGCTGTTGATAAACGGACTGTTGGAATTGGATCGGAGGAGGAGGACTGGACAAGAGAGAAGGCTGTTGTTGAAAGTTCTGAAGCGGAGAATTTATTCCAAATCTCGTTTGATGTTCGTTGAAGCCTGGGTGGTCCACGGGAGGTTGTCTGCTTCTATCGAAGTCATTTTCTATCTGTAACAAAAGGAAATTCAAATTAGAAGTTTCGAAAGTGTTTTTTTAATTTTATTTACTTTTAAATAATGTATTTTGCATTTGAGTATTTGAATACATTTATTTGATTTTTTTTTTGCAAATTTTCCTTTAATAAAAATCCCTACTTAACATTATAAACGTGAACGTATGTTGTTACGCTTTCACAAAACTACTAAACCGATATCATGAAACGTTGTACGCATATTCTTTAATAAAAAGGATATCTATAGGATTCTATTTATTTAAAAAAATAAAGATTTTTTAAAAAAACAGATTTATATGTATGTACTTCAACGCGAGCGGAGCGGCGGGCGAAAAGCTAGTAATATGTAAAACAAGGTCAAATAACAAGAAAAGGTGATGTATGATGAAGATTAAATGACTTAAATTTGAGTTTAATAGATAAATTATGGCAAACAAAACAGTTGCCGCTGTCTGGATTCTAATCTGCATCTACTGGATGCCTAAATAATTCATACAGCTGAATTGAATGCTGAATAAGTCAAAAAAATTATGAAATTTCAAAACATACTTAAGGAATATCACTTGCTATACATTTTTATTTGATTTTGAGGATTCCCCTGATCTATCTCCAAGGAATCCAAGATCTAATCTATTAAATATTATAAAATTATTTTATCTACCGATAAAAGTAAATATAGGCATACGTGGGATCTAAATGCAAAAAGAATACGAGTATTCAAAATCAGTTCATAAATCACTCAGTTCTGAAGAAACAAACATAAAAAAAAAGAATTGAGAGCCTCCTTTTTGGAAGACGTTTGAAAAGTAGAGAAACTTGGATCTGTTGAGCGAGCATTAGTTTAGAAATCTATAAAAGAATAACTTAACAATCATAACACACAACAACATGTGTTTAAAGTCGTGTATTCGGACGACACACAGACGCAATGACAAAACATGAGTTTACGTGACGCGTCAGTAACACGAAAGCGCATTCTTCATGCGCGTGCGCATTGTGGGCTACGAGAACTAAATACCGACGCACAGACGGACAAAGCGATCATGTGCAGAAGTCGCGAGGAACGTCGTTTGAAATTATGGCAAAAAAAAGCAAGTAACGTGTTATGATTTTCTACGTTATTGATACAAAGAAAACTTAGTTTCATTGCGTTCGTTTCTTCCTTGATAAGGTGGACAATTTTGTAGAGTAATATAATAATAGCCTATACAAGTCCCACTGCTTTGCAGTTGCCTCCTCTGTATGGAGGGTGACATTCACGCGGATTGTCAGATTTCACATATCTTCGAAATATTGTTTTTTGTAAATATTCCGAAAATATGCAGTTTTCTCACGATGTTTGTGATAATTCAGCACTTAAAATTGACAATTCATTGGTGCTGGTACCGGGAACTCAAGTTGCTCGAGTATATAGAATTAAAGGGGAGCGCGCGGTCACTGAGCTATCACGGCTTCGGACAATCGTGGGCAGCTCGCAAAGTGTTTCTTCGAACTAGTCCAGGCAGTAGGCAGTATGTAACATTAAAAAGACAGTAAATGTAAGTCCAATATGCGGGTTTTGGTTAAAAAACTTCCACATAAAATTATTATTTACACAGGATTTTGGGCCATACCACGATCATAAGCTCGATGTAATTAACTGTCTCGTGTGTGCAAGAATTATTATTGTGTTTATCTAAAGTTATTAATATGTGAATGTTTAAAGGACTAGTCCCAGGTTTCAGTTTCAATATAAAAACATGTCTGTGTGAGAAAGCCCGCTTTTGAAGGCAGGTTAATTACGCTTGGACTCGGAAAAGCAGGAACACAAGTGACGTCCAATCTCTTATATGTATATACATTCTTAGTGAACTCTTTAGTCTTTGGAGCTCTAAGCGTCACATTCGTGGTATGCGGGGGCAAAATATGTCAATGGAATTAATGCTGTTTAGAGCATCGCTAATGAGAGAATAACCGACCTTGGTCCGCGACTATCCATCGGACAATGACGGAATTGAGAAACAAAGCGAGCCAGTGGAATAATTAGTACGAATGATATTGAGTTTTATAGGGTATTCGTTACTTATTGTTAGTGCACACGGCCGTGAGAAATGATCTTGCGGTTTTATCTATTTCTGTCTGTTGATAAGTGACCTCAGTGAGTGACCATTTGTTTGCAGTGCTTTCGCTTTCGACTCCTGGCAATCGAAAATTTGTTTTATTTGAATTTGTGCGGTAATGACTTGATAAATAACTATACGCTTGTTGAGGGAAAATTTAGCGTTTATAAAACATAAACGGTGAAACGGAAGGTGGTTCATATTGGTTATTGAAGGACATGCGGCATACAGACGGGAACAATAAGATGTTACTGTTTTTAAATTGGCATTATTTTTGTGGTGAGTGACACCACAAAAATAATGGTGACATGGTGAGTTCGTTAATAGTATTCACTTATGTATATTTTTAATCCTATTCATAAAATTAATGAGGTGTAACAATCTGTTTACTCTCCGAATTAAAGAAAGACAAATACTGTAAACAAATGGATGCCCTGTGTGGGAATGGAACCAGAACTTAAACTAGGCGTTTACCCAGCTTAAGCTTTTACGGACAATGTAAATAAGAAGTACCCCACTAAATTATTAAACATACGCGCGTTTCTCAAATGCATTGGTGAAGGCGAAATGGAAAGGCGACTTTCGTCTCTCCACGGAAACTCGCCATTGAGATTCTAAACAGCCGCGGAACTCATCTGAGTACACGTGACTGGAATTATGACATGGCCCTTGATATTTTTTCTTTTAAAAAAATACTAGCGGACACGACAGACGTCTTATGCACACGTCTTTAACCCGATAACAATCTATAAAAAAAATTAACCAAAGAAACATTTCGTAGTGAACCGAATTGAGAATCTAAACCATTTTCGAGTCCACTTGAACACCCAAAAAACTTCACCAGAACCGGTTCAGCAAAATTATGCGTATAAAGGTTTTAGATATGGAACGAACGAGGGAATATTTGTTGTCACAATTAATATTTTCAATGATTATGATTACGAATTATGCAAGGAGACTTAAGTAATGTAAATAGCTATTAAACGTGGTTAAAAAAGCCGCGCCAATTTGTACTTACATACATTTTATGCCACTCATACGTACTCCGATCGAACCTACTTCTTATAGGAGATTGAATGATTTGAAATAACTAAAAATTTGTAAGTTTAGTGATGTGTCCGTAATGTCATAACTATATAAAAAATTAGTCAAATTATGATCACCGATTTTACTAGGTCAGTTCGGTAACTTGAAGCAATCTTCAAGTCACAAAAACTTCAATCGGTTGTTGCACAATTTCTCGTATATCAGAGTCTCGTGACCTTTGATGTAAAAAATCCGGTACGGATGAAACCGAAAGCTGCTCATACCGGTACCGCCCCTCCCCTTCGCCCCGCGCGAGAAAGTGATCACGAAGAGTTTGGCACACTTCGTTAACATCCTGCATCTGTGGGTAACTTGTTACAAAACGCAGCGGAGCGCGTTGCTGGTTGTGTACCTAAGTTATTGTCTTGCGAGAGACTAGGAGAATACAAACGAACTTTGTTTATAGAAACCCGTCCAAAGACTGTAGCTTGTTACACGAGTACTAAGAAACTTGGAAACCTACAGAGAAGCAGTATGGACGTATAGAGGAATTAAATAAAGAAATTGAAGGACAAATTTAAATGGTAAATAGCTTCCAGCGAATGTTTACTATAAAGATTATAGTAAACATACATATATAAATTATTATATCATTATTCCTTTAGATTGACTGATAGAGAATGCCTCAAGCACGAAGTCCCACCGATACACATGTTTTGCGAGATAGTTAAATGTATGAAAATTCATAGGATTTTTATTTGTATTACAATTTTTTCAACTGAAATCGTTAAATATTCAATATCTAATAATGTAATGACAAACAATGAGAGTGTGTTTTAGTCATCAATGATATTATATACAAGTACAAGGTAGATATGGTCGCACCGAAACTGAGACATTAAAATTACGCCAATTGGTGTAATTAGATCGCAATTCTATAGGCTGCTATCTCTTTCCGTTACATGCGTTATATCATCTATCACATTCACTTACATATGTCATCATAATGTAAAGCGGAACAGTGTGGACATGCATCATCTTTATTTAAACAGTATTGGTTTTTGTCGTCAAATAATTCGATCGAAATTGTTTTATTACCGAGAACCTTAGCACGAAACAAAAGCCATCATTATAATAATTACATAGAAATATTTTCCGCCGCGTTGTAGAGAACAAAGGGCGGCTGTTCGCGCACAAATGGAGGAAGAAACGGCGTGAGTCGCCGATTCGTAACAATTTGCATAACGATACCATTAAATATCGTTATCAGAGCCATTTCTAACGTAACGCAGTGAAGCCATCTTCTATCCAAGTTTGTTATGCAAGGCAAAGGGGTGGGAATAATGTGTAATACTCTAAAAATATTGAAATATATTAAAAAAAAGATACATCAAAATCAATTAGAGAAAATTTAAGAACGCTCTTCTATAAATTCGAAAATGTTTAGAGTACCCGAGTTTTGGATTTTCCGAGTAAAAAGATCACTATTTTCTAAACAGGTGGTTCACCTGATGTTGGGTGATTACCGCCGCTCGTATACATCTTCAACACCTGTAGATTTGCAAATGCGCTGGCAACATTGAAAGAAACGCGAAAGTACAGTACATACCTACTTCCACTTCACGCCGTTCTTCTGAGAGGCCGTGGTCATTTCCCGGACAAGCCTGCCCAATCTTGCAACAGACGTACAGTTTGGCACCCCTACAGTTTTTATGCGTATTTACATTTTCGTGACTTGGAGTAAACTTATATAGTTGCCTTTTAAATATATTTATTGTCATTTTCATGAAATGTTTGTAAACTTCCTGAAGTTCTCGTATTGGATATTTTACGATCAATCCCTGTCTTAAAATAAGTCTTGTTAAAGGCTTTTTTACGAGACGTTGTTTAAAACTTCATTAAAGTAATATTGGGTAGGACAATAGGAGTAATAGGAGTTGAAGTCATTGTACTCTAAATAAGTAACGAAATACGACATTTCTTGTAATTTAATGAAGGCCAGGTGCCTTTTAATAGTTATTAAATATGGCTGTAATTGTAAATTCTTCCTTGTTATGGAGCCCGAAAATGGCTTAAATAAGTGATTTATCTTTTTATACATCCGTACAAGAACATGTAAGTGAATGCATAAATCAATACGAAATAATGATCATTACGTAAGACGGTGATAACTTTTTTATTTGTCATAACTTGTTGTAATTTATGTCATTGGAATGGTGGTTACGTGTGTGTAGTTGGGTCTTAACTTAATTTATTGTCAAATTATGAAACGTGTTCATAACTGAAGTCATTAATGAATTATTTACTTTGTTTGTTGAATGAATTCCCAAATGTAGGTTTTTTTTACGTTATCAGAACCGAAACTTGTTCGCTTAGCGTTGGTCGCTTAAAAATATTAATGTGTCGACAGTTTCGTTAACACATTTATTATATGGCATTTGCACCGGTTCCTCGCGATGATATTCCAAACCGAATTGAAATTGGACTTATTAGTACTGAAATTTTAAATTTATAATTTTATCATAGCTTAGCACCTGGATATCGAGCTGTCACGGTACTATTGGATTTTTACTGTTTAATACAAAGTCACCTCACCATAATGGCGTTATTCAAGAAAATATCCCTTTTAATAAAAAAACAAATCGCATATAATACACAACAAATGAAGCAAATTTTAATATCAATATTAATATATATAATCAAATCAAACAAATCAAAACAAACAAATCGCTTATAGTACATAATAACAAATCGCTAATACTAGTACTGATATGTAATGTTTCGTTAGATTAAGGTTTTATTCTGAAGTGAAATTTTAAATAGTGAACAACAATTTTAAATAGTAGCAACACATAGAGATATCAGCACACGTTAGCGACGTGTGCTGATCAAGAACGTTATTATTAATGATATAAATATGTAATATGTATTAGTGTAATGTAGTATTTTGATATCACAGGCGTACACGTAAGGTAGTGTTTAAATGCCTTAATTTGTCTAGCCAATGCCTTGTTTCATATAGGCTATAATGCGTATTCTGTGTTCAATGCGATATAATATGAGATTATGATTGTCATTGTAAATATAATTATAAGCAATGTAAATGAAAAGATGATGAATAAAATGAATTAATACTGTGAAATACTATTTCTATTTTACTAGATTTTAATATTCTCGATTAATTAAAAATATCAATAATATTCTCAGCTGCCTGCACAAAAAGTACTTACTTTACAAGTTACATAAGTAAAATAAAATACTCGTTTATATTATAATATGTAACGCTTTTTAATCAAACATATTTTTTTTCGTAAAACTGTATTTGTCAAAATATTTTTTTGGGCTGTAAACATAAATTTAAAATAACGTTATCGAGTCAGGCGTTACATTAAATAATCAATGAATAAATTTGTAATCGCCTAATCATATGGAGTTGGCGTAAGTTATTATTTATCGAAATTAAACAACAGATATAAAACGTGCGTGCTTTCCATCTAACACTATGTTCACGAAAACAAAAACAATGTTCGCATGTCTATATATCACTCTTGAGTTTTCGTCTGTGAACTCGAAATGATTCTGCTTTCTACACGCCACAATGTCTGCTCTTGCTACGCGTCGCGAATGGATTTCTATAGTATGATACTACGTATTTCTTTTAATCATATACTTATAGCTTCCCACAAATTTCTTTTTTCTCCCTCCTGAAAATTAAGGCTAATTCTTCACCGCTCCATTGGTTAACAATTTACGTTTTTAGACAAAATTAACAAACCAAAGAAATGGGAAACGTTCAAGTCCTTTTTTACCCGTAACGGGGTCATCGGGCATAATAATCTTTTAGACACGCTAAAATTGTTGAGAAACTGACAAATTAATAATTGACACTGAATTTACCAAGTTTAAAGCATTTTTTTATTGTGTGCCTCTTTTGTAATGTGTGATTTTCGCTGATCTTATTATATCCAAAAGAGACAGAAACAAGGACACAAACAAGGTAGGTATACAATAGAAGATCAACTTTTTGTACATTTTACTACTCGCGAAGTGAGATTTTCTCTATTTCTTACCACTGTCGTTCTTCGGAACAGTCGATGATCGTTAAATTTGAAATCTGCGTCTTTGCATCATTTTATGCAAATATTTGTTGTAGGTACATGTTATTTAGAATTGAACAATTTAATATTTTCAAAATTTACATATATTATAAATTTATTTTCATCGGACTCGCGCACGAAGGGTTCCGTACCATTATCCATAAAAAAAATCATTGCCGTTGTATGGGCGCCGCACTTAAATATTATTCCAATCCGTTTTTTAGTATTTGTTGTTTTAGCGGCAACACAAATACATCATCTGTGAAAATTTCAACCGTCTAACCAGCACGGTTCATGAGATACAGCTTGGTGACAAACTGACAGACAGATAGACAGACAGCGGAGTCTTAGTAATAGAGTCCAGTTTTACCCTTTATGTACGGAACCCTTAAATGTGGCACCTTTGTAAGGATCCAAACAATGTCGGCAAAGCACTGTGTGAAGAATAAAACTTTCCATATTGTTTTCTTGATTTTACGCGAATATTATACATATTATATGAAACTAGTTTACGCGATAAAATCCGTAAACTAGTTTCATTTTTGTTTTCAGTTTGTTTGAAATAAAATTTAACACCGGAAAGAAGAGTGAAGAGTGATCATTATGAAAGTGTAAATGCGTACTTATGAAAGTACGACGCTTGAAGCAGAAGCTATACCTCTTCGTTTCGTCAGGTGAGTGAGGTAACTGGAGCCCACTTTATTAAAAGTTGGCATGTACATTGGCGGCGGTTGTTTTAATTTATATCATTGGGGTCAATAACATTTCTATTCACTTTTTACATAAAATAAACAAAGTCGATTTAAAATAATACAAAACCAAAAACCAAGAAATCCCACCATTACACTAAAATCGTTTGCAATACATAAAATAATTAAAATAACAAACAATTCATTATTTATTATTATTGCGCAGTAGCGTTACCGCTGTTTTATAAGTAAATGCAAAACAATGTCTACTTAGCCTTAAAAAGATACAGATTGCAAATTCATTATTTCGCGGCTTTTGCACTGTTCACTTTTTTAGGTCACGTTCATAGAATAAGAGGAGCTTATTTGTCATAGTCACGTAGGCAACAATTGCACTATTCTGAATTTATTCGAATGCCTTGATGTTTCCTCAAGCATGAATCTTTTATGTTGGCGCTTTTCAAAAAATTAATGCAATCAGGCTGAGTCTTGTCGTAACTTTATTTTACTCCAGTACTACTTAATACGGTGAGAAATAAAAAAGTTGAAATTTTATGAAATCAAAGTCCCATTAG